GTAGTCGTAGTCGTAGTCGTAGTCGTAGTCGTAGTCGTAGTCGTAGTCGTAGTAGTAGTAGTAGTAGTAGTAGTAGTAGTAGTAGTAGTAGTGCAGTACCAAAAACCAAAACCTAAAACAATACATACAGCAGAACCCATGCCACATGCACAAACCGAACCGAAGCGATGCTAAACAGCCATGCATCTCGTTGGGTGACATTTTATTTGTGACACTCCCACCCAAAAAACAGTAAGCTCAGGTCATGGTCCTTCACCAGTTGAATGAAGGGGAGGGAGGATCAGAAAAAGAAATAAACAAAAAAAAAACATGGGTGTGCAGCAGGGAGACCCCCAACCAATGGGCTTTAGGGATACATTCCCATGTGGTTCTTGTGCTTGCTAGTCCTAAAGCTCGCGCTGGTCCCCAAGTTCGCTACATTTGGAGGTCCAGGTCTTCTTGCAAGTGCGGTTCAGTTCGGTCAGGGCGGTCAAACAACTTGGGGAAAACCTTCGTGAACGCATATCATCAGAGTATCTTATATAATGTCTATGGAGATCTTGCCACTCCTCTCAGAAAGTCGGAAAATACCTGGGCCTCTCGGCAACATTGACAGAAGTTGAATAGAAACATATATAGACTTAAAACTAAACGCCAAACTGCTTGCGTCATCCTCTTTTGAGACCCAAAGCCTTGATGACGGTCGTTTTTGAGTTGGTCATATACAGCATCGCCCGCCGAGAGACTGTACGTTGGTCATGTACACGGGCTGGTCCGGCTGGGTGTCGCTCTTCTTGTGAACTGGCAGGAGCTTCATCATACCATTGTTACCTCGATGCGAGCGACAGTTTTAGAGCTTTTGCGGTCCTATGCGAATGAGCCTTCAGAAGCTGTGAGCCTTGAGTCTATGAACTACTGGCCAAAGGAGTGCAATCATGGAATAAAACTGGTGTACTGGTCCACAGAGAGAGGGAGAGAGAGAGAGAGAGAGACTGTGTGTGTTTGTTTGTTTGTTTGTTTGTTTGGTTGGTTGGTTGGTTGGTTGGTTGGTTGGTTGGTTGGCCAAGTTCCTTCAGGAATAATCACAAGCATGGTGTCTGCTGTGGATTTGCCAGCATACTTGTCATGCTTGGCTTTTTTGTCCGAATCAGTGCTTGGTGCAACATTGGGACATTGGGGATAACGCGGCAACGTGGGATTGTCAAGTGCAGCTGAAAGGCAGGCTTCCCTGAAGAGCCAAGGGTGATTGTGCAAGTAGTACCTTAGCTGCCCAAGACAATTGCTATCGCATGCTATCGCTAGCAACTATGTTCCATGGCCATTCATATTCACGTAGTAGCAGAAAGTGCTACCAAATGCTGGCCGTCGCCGCAACAAAACTTGGGTCCCACCTCCACAGAGAAGAGGCAAACACCAAGCGTAGTAACTAGCTGGTAGATTCGATGAAGAGGATCGAAGTGTTGATGTCTTGTGGTCTCTACGCCACGCATGGCACATGCTATCGCATGCTCCTGCTTGGATCTGGCATAGAAACGAGAGCGAGTTCAGAAGCTTGAGATGTGAAGAAACCGGGCGCCCGAAACAGATGTGTCGTATGGCTAGAGACATGGTTACTAAGGAAAACTCGATGGTTCTCACAAGACATCTCTTTCTCATGAGACATCATAAGACTTAAGAGATCGTTTCCTTGGTGCACGAGTCTTGAGATGATGAGATTCCCGGGCAAGTCCAGCTCTTCCACTGCCGATGTTCCATGAAAAGATCGATACATCCCCGTCCTTCATCCCAAAGACATGGCATCGCCAGCAAAGACTGGAAGAACTTCACACGAATCGATTTGTTCAGTCCGATGGGTCAATGCGATTCTTTATAGCATCTTTCTTGAGAGGGTCTGAGTCTGCTAAAAAGACCTTCCGCACGATCGGTCCTCTGTTGGGTTTCCAAGACTACGGGCCACAGATTCGGATGGTCAACTGGTCGAATCGTGGAATGGTCGCAGCATTTTCTAGTGGTGAAGTTACCCATACCCCTCACACCAAGATGGCTTTGCATATCTCTCAAATTCCAACCTCTCCTCGGTATGTTTGTTCGATTTGGACTCGTCCAGTTGTCCCGGGCCAGCCGGGGACGGGGGACAGACTCTTGGAGTCGCCCGTTCACGAGGTGACAAAGGATCCCAGCAAGGCTGCGGCACCTCCGACTGGCCAGTCGCCCGAACTTGGAACTCGATGGCATGTCAAAACACTGCTTGGTCAGTGCAGAACATCCACGGTTTCACCGGTCTTCGCGTCCTTGGTTTGCGTCCCAAGCGGCCACTGCTTCACGACGCCACAGGCACCCGGCCCCGCGGAGAAGGTCGTGAAGCGCCTGGGACTAAGGTCGAAGCACGCAGGTTTCAGACTGAGGAACTTGAGGAACCTGAGTCAAAGTACATGATGTGCTTGGAAAAGATTGGAATTTCATGGACTTTGCCTGGGGAAGGAGCTGGGTCCCTTGGTTTCTGTCCCCAAACAACCAGTTGGATCGGCTTCGCCGACCACTTTGGGGGCATCAAAAGAACGTCAAAGAAGAGGCAAAAGTCGAGGCAAAAGAACGTCAGTGCTGTGAGTGGTATAGAAAGTGTTAGACCATGAGTCACAACATGCGGGAAAAGAAAACAGTGTGTTGCAGGGTTCTCAATCGTCCAATGAACCCTAATCCACTCCATAGAATTCCAGCAGCCAGCGACAAACTCACAAGTGCAATCACGCCTTCCACATCTTCTCAGGTTCCTTTGCCTGGGAGTCTCCCAAGTCCTGCTTTCCGAGAACAAGAAAGCATATATATATATATATGTGGCTGGCTGTGTGTTTGTGTTTCGGGAGACTAGGAGACCTCCCAGTTTGACCCCCGGAAGGTTCGGATTTCATAGACCACAACCCATTGGTGGATGGGTTTCACGTCTAAAATACAAACCTATATGAACAGAACGATCCCACCTGTCGATCCACACATATCCACACCATCAGGCCTGGAATCCATGCCGGTGGCATCTGCGCTCAAGACCCGCCTGAGAAATCCCCAGATCTCCGAGCGGAACTTCTGGCTGCGTAGGGGTGAAATTCCCTTCTGGATGGTCAGTTGTGGAGGTCTTGTAAGAATACAAGTGCGCCTAAGAGCGATGGCCTCCAACCTACTAGCGATGGCCTCCAACCTAATTGCGATGGCGTCCAACCTAATAGTGACAGCCTCCAACCTATGAGCGACGTCATTCCTGTAGCTGGTTCCCAATACCTCGGGTTTCCTTCAGAAACCCGAGGTTGTTCCATCGACCGTACGAATGTCCAGGGTTTGGATGCGCAGGGTAAAACAAGAATCAGTGCTCTTTGGACAACAAGTGGGCAGCCGCCAGGACCACACAGCTCCCCTCCCTGGTCCGATTGGTTCGCCGACCACAAGGGTGAGACACGTGCGAACTGCCGAGGTCACTTCACTTCACGAATTCCAGGCTCAGATGGCTCTCCGATCCTTCACCCCTTTGCTTCAGTGTCTCGGTGCTTTCACATGGGCGAACACCGATCACATCTTCCCTCCAACTGGCCTAAAGTCGCCGTTGATCATGTTGCCCACCTGCCCCGTCGCGTGGGTCGAACAGCGTCCCGGCGGCTCGGAGTCCGGACGAGTCTCCGAGACCGGGGCGAAACGAAGGACCAAAGCGACGCGCAAAGACTGGCGGCTCCCCAAAGAACAAAGACTCGAAGGCAGCAAGACTGCTGGGCTTTTTGGTTGATGTTGAGCAAGGAAAGGTAGCAAAATGTGGCAAATACCCAGAGAAGTACTTTCTTTGATAAATCTTGTTGACTATAACTGTTGTCTTCCTTAAACAGCACAGCTTGTCACCAGGTACTTTCCCAATTCACTTGGCATTCTTCTTCGGTAAGTTGGGGTGATGCGGACGGAAACGCAGAGAAAACGCCCGCTGCTGGGCTTTGGAGAAAGGTCTTCGTGGCCGGGGGTGGGACCGCGGCCCAGATCTCTCTCCGCCACGGAGCTGCACCGCTGGAAGCTGGTGATTCACTCGGTCTCTTGGAAACCTGGAAAGGCCATAAATATTCCCCAGAAGGGGATTTACCCTTTATAGAAAAGAACACAAATCACCTGATCCGCCCGACCAGTTTCGCCGCAGCTAGCCGCGCCTTGTGCGTCATGGCGTGCAGCTTGTCCACTCGCGGATCTCCGATGAGCCCCAAGGCTTTGCAAATATGGTCCATGTTCTCCAGCTTCTCGCCACCTGGCGTCAAGCTGGCATGAAAACGTGATTTCTAAGGTCATGAAGGTTGCATCGCAGACTGATACTGTGAACAGCGTCAGCGTGACCTTGTTCCTATTCTTTATCACTTGAGACATCTTGAGACTGATCCCAAGGCAGCAAGTCAGTTGAAATACATACACGTGGAGAGTACATGTGGCAACATCTCAGAGTCATTGCAAACCTTGCGTTTGATTCAATGTTTGCCTGCTCACAATCCCATGTTTTGCTGCTGGTGTTGGCTCATTGGACAAAGGCGACCAGAACCATCCCCTACAGTACGGCCCTAACTCCAGGACGCTAACTGCGATGAAACTCCTGCTTTACAAGGATCGACCCAATACCAGTTTGAGTCTCAAAGTCCTCCAACCGAATACATTGCTCCAACTGGCACAGAGGAACCTCCGGTTTCTCAACGCCCGGTTTTCTCAACGCCCTGTTTTCTCACCGGGAGCACCTGTGAGGTGCAAGGTCTTTGCCGTGCACCGCGCCAGTGTGTCCACCCGGTACTCCTCGACCGGTTCCAACGGAGCGACAAGGAGGGCTGCAGGCGACAGGGCTGCTCCCAACAAAACCATCCGATTGAGCCGGTTTTTTGGGGGGTGATGATCCGAAGCATGGCGACCAGCATGGCGACCCTTCAGCCGATTCAGGCGTGATAACGAGTGCGTGTTTGTATATCACGTTTGGTCCGTCCGGAAGCGGTCCGACTTCGGTGGAGAACTTGGGTGGGTGGGAGGTGGGAAGGACACAAAAAAAAAGGTAGACATGTGCAGATTGCAGATGCAGATGCCTAGATAATCCTACATAATCTGCATAAATATATAATATATATATATATATATATGTAGCCTGGCCAAATAGCCTGCTTTCTGGTCATTCCAATCAATCCAAACCATGAAAAACCTGACCTTATGAGCTGCTAGTAGTTAGAAGCTACTAGTAGAAGCTACAAGCTACTAGTTACTAGTAGTAATGCACTTGTTACTAGTAGCGATGCCCTTGTTACTAGTAGCTTCTTCTTTTGTTCAAGAAAATCCTCCAGCCCCACGGCGTTCAAACGAGACCGACAAGGCTCGAGCAAGCCATAGGCCAAGCAAAGGAAGGTCACATCGCCGATGCCGAAACGACTGCTTTGCCTCGGCAGCTTCGCCGACCAGGACCACAGACCTTTCAGAAGGGGGACCCATGTTTGATACACGGGGGACACATTTTGCGGGGGGCACCTCTGACACATGTTGGGGTGCAAAAGAACAAGAGAGAGCATCTGAAGATGCAAGGTGTTGCAGGTCGTTGAGGAGTCATTGATCCTCTTTTCAATGCAACATGGTTTCATGGGAAAAAAAAAAAAACACGAATCAAATCTGATGCCAAATACAGCAAGCCCAAACGGGGGGGCAATCCACAACTTCACACAGGTGGCATAGGCATCAACAGTATCCAACTTCAGTATGCAGCGTCAATACTCCGGTGATACTTTGTACTGCTGCATCTCTAGCTTTGCTTCTTTAGCTGTTCCCCTGAGCCCAGAGGCAAACTCACCACCCAGCTAAAGTCGACACTCGAATGTCGGGTCGTCTGTCTGTCCTTCCCAGAACTCTCCAGGGTGCTTGATGCCGACATCGTGAGGGTCGTTGCCCATCTGAACCGCATAGAACTTGTATGGATCCTCAAGACCTGGCGACGAACAAAAAGGAGTGGAACTGCGACCTGGCACGCAGCTTCTTCTTGGATCTTGGATTTCGGAAGGGACCTCTCTTCCCAAGCAATAATTTCATCACCCAATAAGTCAGTGGATGAACCTCCAAGTGACATTCACCCGCAGAGGATGAGGCATCGATGAAGATGGAGCTAAGACTTGCGGCCTTTTTGGGAGTGAAGATGTCCAGCAAGCTTTTCGGTGTGGGGGGGGTCGGTCATTCGCACCCTTCGGGCCCGAAAAAAACGAGCTTCCAGGCCGAGGATGACACCACCTCCAGCCCTGGATACAATTCTGCGATCCAACAGCTGGGGCAGTTGAGTCGAAGTGCAGTTCTCAAACCGACACTTCGAGTCCACTTCCAGGCTGACCGGACTCAGAAGGGTCGCAGAATTCACCCGCATCTGCATCTGTGACCTGCTTTTTCTTCTGAAGAATGATTAGTTCAATAGCTCTGGGGAAAAGAACACGCCGGTGGCACGCACGTGCTGCGCAAGCAAAACCGTTTCTCCGGATGATCATTCTACAAACAATATACTAGAGAGCTCAATCTGTCCAGAACAAGGACGACATGCAAAACGAAAGTGGCAGGTGGTTTGGGGTACTGTATCTATCCTGACCACTTCTCTGAAAGCTTTGTCAGAACAGATTCAGATCTGGGAAACACCGTTTCGGGCACCGGCTGGAAAGAGCAGTAACAAACTCCTCATCTCCCTTCTGAAACAATCTGAAGAACAGGGTCAAGCTAGTTCATCAAGCTGTTGCAAGATGAAAACTTCCGACAAATCAGGTGTTCTCTGACCCGCTTCTCAAGAAGTATCCCAAACAAACAAATCAATGCTTTCCTGGAAACGCACACCTTACACCGACCACAGATCTGTTCCCAACTCACCTGCCAGGCTGTACATGGCCTTGAACTGATTCAGCAGCATCCAGGCCGGTGTCGGCTCAGGACCTGACAACGACTAGTTGGTCGATTCTTTTACGCACGCGACCCCACACAGCAAGCAAAGGAAGGCAGACATCTACCTACCACCAACGAATGGTGCCTACCGTGGTTCCCAAACGTAGGTATGTAGAGGTTGCCGGTTGATTCGTGATGATTCTTTTCACAAAAGAATGGATCAGCCCAACATTGAACAAAGAAGATAAAACTGCCAACCACTAACGCCAAGTTCTTCGTGTAACCAAGTCGCCGAGATTGGAGACAAATGGATACACAGACAGAGAGAGAGAGAGAGAGTACGCCAGCCCCACTAGAAGTGCAGGTTTCTTTGGACACCAATGCTAGGGATGGTTTTTGAGTCACTTCTGGTGGGTGAAACTCCCGTGGTCGCTCAAAAACTCCGGTCGCTCCGAACGGTTCCGCTCCAGAGATCGCAGTTTATGGCTCCCTCCCAAGCACAAGCCTAATGAACCAACACCTACGCTGCCTAGGGCGGCTCTTGCAGACTAAAGACACTTAGGACCCAGTGGATTAGCTCTTCATCTTGAGACCCGAAAAGCCGGCAGTATTTGTTAGAAACCGCTGGGATGCCGAGGTGCGGGAATCCATGTCATGACATGGAGATCTTTGGAAAGACTTGGAAGCAAGCGGAATTTTATGGAGATCAATCGGTTTCTATTTCTATTTGGCAGAACCTGTTTCAAATCATGGATTCGTGCATTGTTTCCCCTATGGTGCATCCATGATCCGCATGATCCCATCATCCATGCTCCTTCCAAACGCAAAAAATGAGTGGAAAAATGCTCGGCGCCTTGATGGCAGAACCAGCAAGGAAGTCGAGGGCACAAGAGACCTCGGTCCGTTCGGCCTCCAGTTCGGCCTCCGAAGGCGACTCGAGTCGCACCCGATGGGGCGAGTGGCACCGGTGGAGAGCTACTTAAGTCTAAAAGAGGAACCTGGGAACCTAGTCGTCAAAATCGTGGCAATGTGCCATGTTCATCCATGTTCATCCATTTTCTATACCTGGCCAGCTCAGAAAAAAAACTAGCCAGCATGGCACATGCTAGACAAGTGACAAGTCTTCCACCTGTGGCTCCGTGCTGCACCGTGGGGACCGTCGGGTCCAATAAAAAGACGAAGATCCGCCGGTACAGAAAAAGCAACCATATACAGTCAGACAAAGGCACCAACAGGAGCAATGTCTGGTTGCCAGGGACGAGCAACACGTTTTGGGACGGCCAGGGTGAGACCACGTGTTCACAAGAGCTGTCTTTGCCAAAGTGTTCCAGGCTCCCAAGTCCAACCAAAGCCCTCAGATCCATGGATGACCCCACAGAAACGATAAGAATAACACCATTTAAAAATAGATACATACATATATATTATAATATATGATAAGTATATAATCAACTCAATCCGTCAAACAGCTACAATACACAACCCTTTTACATGGATAAACATGTTCACCTTCGCGTTAAAAAGACAGAAACTCTCTCTGTTCATCAAGAAGCTTTTCCTGCGTGTGATAATGTAGACCTTGGCTGCGGAGTTCTCCACGCAGCTTCGCACCTTGGACGGTCGAAGGAACGACCGACGCGACGCGACCCAAAAGAGAAGGCTTGCGACCCAGAGAAGGGTGAGGAAAGCAAGCCTGGAACCTTCCCGAACCCGAAGGAACCTTCCAAAAAGAAATGGCTGTGTTCCATGGAGGACCTCGGCCAGTTTGGGTCAGTTTGGGTGTACAGTATTGCGGGTACCAGTATTTGACGACCGTGGCGGTGGCGGCCGCCAGGTCTGACGTCGATATCGCCGCCAGGTCTGGGAGGTACTTTGTTCACCAAATTCTGCATTAATGCAACCATCACAAAATCTCATACAGGTCCCCACAGAAGTCCCGGAAGTCGTGCCTTCCTCATGAGTGCTATTCATTCGAGGTAGGCAGGTCTTGTGGTCCTGCGACGGGTCCATGAATCACCACGTGCTGTCCAAAGACGTTCTCCACTGCGAAGGCTCCTTAGATGGAATAGGATGGAATCCGTGGTGCCCAAATCGGCGGAGAGCCCCTTGATGCAAGCGAAGCGAACGTACACTTGGAGTTGCCTCTTTCGTAAGCCGGGAAAAAGAATGATCCTCCAGAATAGGATTCACCGAGGTTGGGAAAATAAATGAAAATAACATATAATCCTAAGCAAAACCAGGTAGGTCCATGCCTCGAAGTTGGCCAGAACCCCGCTTAAACCAACAGAAATCTGGGTTCCCAATAGTTCCTAAGCCTCTGAAACATCACAGAATTTCTTACCCAGCCCAGCCCTTACAATTCAAAGCAAGATCTTCACAGCATCTTCCCTCCAACAGTCGCCACATTCGGTTTTCCTTCGCGTCAACTCTCAACCGCTCCAACTCGATGCCGTCCGTCGTCCGTCGCGGACCACCCAACATGGCCCGAGAAGGCCTCCACCCGAAGGCCTCCACCCGAGAGGTAGACTGGACTGTTGATTCATAAAACCCCACGCCATGAGGAAGTTTTACAATCCAAATGTTTCTTCTTCAGTCTACAGGACCATACCATACCTGTCCTTCCGCATGCGGCGTTGCTTACAAGCGGACCTGGTGGATCTTTTCCAGGATTCTAGGGCCTTCTAGAGTTCCATCTTCGGCTTTTTGGGCAGACCGAGGAGTCAAAAAGGTCGGTTTGCAGTGAGTTCACCCCAGATGTGTGGTTAAGAACTGATTCAAGAAAAACCTGCCCTCCTTGATCTCCTTAATAGGTGATTTCAGTGATTTGGCCGAGACGGTCATCTCCTTGGTCTCCATATTTTGCCCGAGATGACAACAAACTGAACATCGATCTGTGTTGAGCATCCATTCCCCAAGATGGCACAGCGCGCATCCTTCATGCGGCCATCGTCCCAACAGAAAGCACCGCCTGGTCGTCGGAGCTGGAGAAAACGCCGCGTGGACGCCATTGTGCGATTGCGTGTTTTCGGTGGGACCTTTGATCGAACTTGGCATGAACGAGATGGCGGATCCCGCAACAAATCAAGAAGTCTTGGACCATTGTCTGTCTGGCAAGCGGTTTAGACCACGGAGTCCCCCCTGGTTTTGACACAGCCTAGATCTTCCGACGCACTACTTAGTTCGCCTGGTTCCCAACTGTCCCAAAACTGTCCCAACTCATGGAGAAGCAGGTTTCAACGGCCAAGCAGAAACAACGCTGCACCAGTTTTTTCGGATGAAGACCATAGTCCTCTCCCACTTCTGGGTGTTTTGTTTCATTTTGTCACTTCTGAGCGAGTCATAGTGTAGGTTGGTTGAAGAGACTATCCATATCTATCCATCCATGATACGTCATGTCCATGGTCGTCCAATGGTTTAAGAAAGACATAGAAACACATAAACCGATATCTGACCCCATAAAGGGTCCATACTGATTCGAGAAATCAGAAATCCACTCCCCAAGACCAAATACAGTCTTGAAACACATTACCACCCGGAGTAGTTGTCTGCATCTCCTCAAGAAATAGTAGTTTCTGGCAACAACCCTGATCAAAATGAACATTGAAAAAGTATTCAGATCGTTGACACTGTACGTTGTACGCCTGATCTCGGATTCCTTTATATACTTTTCGAGATGACAGTGTGCAGCTCGTTCCCAACATCAGTGGCTCCACCTTGTCCATTGCCCATGCCATAGCCGATCTGCCCACCGGCTGCGATAAACTCATCCTCACCTCAGGGGTGACAAAAAGTCCAAACAACATGACCTTCATGACCTTCACAATTCACAACTCCTGCCGCTTGTTTGCAGGTCAACCATAATATCATTCAATTCCATTATCGGAAAACCACCAGGTTCACGACACTTCACCACTTCAGAAAACTGAGGCAAGAGGTTTGGGGGGGCCCCTATCTCACTTCAAACGCAAGCAGTACACTCTGCCCCAGAAGGTGCAGGTCCCTTGGTTTTTAATGCAGCGCTCGAGCGTTTCAGAAAAGGTTTTTGGGAGGAGGAGCTGTCCATACTTGGTGAAGTCCCTCAGGGCATAGCGTCATTGTTCAGGGGCCCCACAGACGTGGAATTGGTGTTCATCCAGCAACGAGCGCCCCACTCGCGTCCGGAAGCCTTGGCCCAAACCCATCAGCCACGAAGGCGCCTGGGTAGTCAATGATGCGGTTGATCTCATAGGCACCTGGGATGGAACATGCAAAATATGCTGAGTATGCTGAAAAGAACGCCTCTCCTTTTTGGGGTGTTTAGAATCTAGAAGCTGTTGATGAACCGCGTCTCAACCGCACAATGCAAGACATCTTCCATACACCCCGGCGGAATCCCTAGCCTCCGGCGGGCCAGAGCACTGACAGACACGGAGGTTCCCTGCTCTGGCACTCCAACTACTTGAGAGATGAGGGGGGTGAACGAAAGGTAGCAGGCAAGGCAGAGGCCGAGTTCGAGTCCGAATTCCAGTTCGAGGCCATCCAGGGTTGAGTTCAGTTCTAACAGTTCCAGCTCGAGTTCCAGGCTTCTATGCTTCCAGGGTTGAGCTCTTACTGTTCCAGTGCGAGTTCGAATGGGGCACACTATGCAAAGAAACATGCCTGAAGAATTGTCCAAACATCTCAAGACTTGCACCCAAACCGCGACGGAGTCGTAGCGAGCAGAAACCCTTCTTACAGGACCAAACTCTAGGCAAATGGCCAAGTCCTGGTTACAATACATGTTTGCTAAAGCAAAAGGAGAACTCAGGTAGCCTGAGGCTACCTTTCGTGACTTCTAGTTTCTCCTGCCACTCTTCAATATCCTCTAGCAGCACCACGCTCACACTCAACAATGACAAACACCAACATGGGGCAATGACATTGGATTTTGTTATCCGGCCATCTCAGTCTTTTTACACAGTCGTTGGTGACCCACACAACTGGGCCAGGTGTTTGGTGGAAAAAAGAAAAAGCCCCTGATGGATGGAGATGGAGAATTGTCGCGCCTGGGAAGTGATAAATCACAGAGCACTTCACCTTGTTCCCAACCCCTCCCTTCTCATCGCTGTAGGCCTCAGAGAAACCCCGCAGATCCGAGTTGGAAGGCGCAGAGGTGTTGCGCACAGGCCAAAGAGGTTGTGATCGTGGTAAACTGGAAAGAAACAGCGAAGTTGCCAGGGTGGCGTTGATGTGATATGCAAACGGAATTCATGATGCTCTAATGACTTTCAAGTCTGCAAGGGTGTCTTTAGGATCTATACAAACAGTAACAAAACCAACAGCATGGGCCCATTTCCAGCGTGGTCACGAAGAAAAGGTTGAGCCTTGGACACTTTTTACGGCATCTGGGCTCCCTTTTTGGATCCTACTGAGTCTATCCCAATTTTCTGGGAAGCCTGATGAAGGGGAATTCATGCCCTAGCCTCCTGTGTTACAACAATGCTTGCCATTTTTCCAACAAGTAAACTCTTGAACGAAGCCGAAAGAGACCCCTTGCAGTTCGTACCAAGGCAAATCGATCATCTTTGTGAAAATGAACAAATCCAAAATCCTAAGATCTCATAGGAACCTCCATCTAGAAAACTTATCCCTTGCCCTTGCCAAGCTACATTGTAGCCGCCCTTCGGCAAGGCCACAGCACCATCCTACAATCACATGGGCAGCCAGCTACATAAACTCCTACTCAACGAGTGTTTGGTTCCTACTCAAAGGTGTGGTTGTTGACGGGCATTCAGCGGTCTACTGTGCAGAGTCCATAGCTGAATATCACTTGTCACGATGTTTGTCCAGTCACAAAAGGCCTCTTGATCTGGTACTGTACCAACCGAGCAAACCAGGTCATGCACTCTTGAACAGATTTGTCAAGAGGGCGCTCTGTTTCACCGCCTGTGCCCATCCTGTCTCGGTGAATTTATAAGTGACAAACCTAGAAAAATGAACACTCCCTTAGTGAAGGTCCTCAACAGGGTTTAACTGACTGTTTAACTTGATTCGACTTTGAAACTCCAAGACTCTATACTGGCTAAGCCTTGTACCTCTCGCAGGACCCCCATACCTATAGATTAAAAAGAGCATGCTTTCGCCATGAGCATCTCAACAATATCTCAAATCTCCAATCTCCAAGGAAAATCCCCAGAATGGATTCAGCTGTAGCAACATCACCAAACACATGAGGCCCCAGACTTCATTCCTTTTTCTGGGCCTCCCCAGAGGTTCGACCTGTTACCCCTCTCCTGTTCGACCTTTCGGAGGCCCAGCTCGTAGTAGCGATCCTCAGCCTTTCGAAGCAAGCGCCCAACGGTCCAACGCCCCGCAGCATTCGTGCGCACCCAGTCTCTCTTTTGGACAAAAACAGAGTCTTGGGGTTCATGAAAGACCTTTTGATCCTCTGCTTCAGTGAAGATGTCTCAATGTGTCATGAGATGTGTAGTCAACTCCTCTCCGAAAACAGACCTACACAAATGGTCGTTCGTCGTTGCAGTTGACCAATTGAATTTAGAGTCGTCTTCCTCTCGACATGATTGGACGCGAAAAAATGTTGGATGCAAAAAATGTCAAGCCAGGCTGAGATCCCCTCCCAACGTGGGTCCAATAGCAAGAAATCCTGGCATCCTAGACTGCCGGTCACTCTGCCTCTTGTTCAGCCCCTACAAAGCTCTAAGCGTTCCCTACTTGTCCCATCGAACGCCCTGAACGACAAATCGAACGAATCACCGATCCAGGAGGGGGGCGTCGGACGCTGAAACGAGTGGTTGGTCACGGTGATCCCCCTCGAGGCCTCGGGATCTCCCACGATGTTCAAGCTTGCCACTTCGGTTGCAAAAGTACCTAGGTGTCGACTGTCGGGTTCATCACTGTCGAGTTCATCCTTGAGATGTGCCCAGACTGCCGCGGTTTCTTCGAGGAAAGAAGCCAGCAAAAGAAGAAAAGTGAGATGTGCCCCAGCGATGCACATAGGTCCATCTCTTGGGTGGCTCCTGGAACCAAAAGTGGATCCATCTGTTGAGCAGACTGAAGGGGAGCGCAGGACGGGACGACTCATCGTCCAACCCCTAAAGACTTTGAACGGCTCACAGCACGAGAGGAGCCACTCCCTGAAATCATCAGTCGGGTCAGTGGGGTCGAATCGAGTTCACCACCTGAAGATGGTCTTCGGATTGTTCACATCTGAAGAAGTCTTTGGGCCATGCCCTCCACGTAACCATGCTGATTTCAGAGAGTGTAAGTCAATGCTTGGACGGACGGGCCAATGGCCTGGACGTTTCAGGCCTTGGGCATTCGGAGATTGGATCAAACTGAGACACGGTGGAGACGGTAAACAGTTCAATGATCAAGTTCTCAGCAATTCCAAATAGCACAGCAAAGCCTAAAACCTAAAACTCTAATGGTCCCTACAAGTAGTTGATTGGTTGGGGCCGGACTGTGCATCCTGGTAATTACTAAAGTTACTTTTGCAGTACCAATGTAGCAGGAGGTTTTGTGGTGACCGCAGGATGAATTCAGGTCCGGCCTTACCAAGCCAAAGAACCCCCAGTCGCAACATATTGATTTGGATTGACTCGCAAAGCGAATGTCTTGTCTCCACTGTCCATTGGCCCCGAAATAGGGAAGAAACACTCATTTGACCAGAGCCAACACACCGGCAACGAAGTGTACAACACAAGCCTTCAAACACAATATACAGGTAATTGAACACATCTGCGGGATGTTGCAACTTTGATCATGGATCGTTCGTCTATATATCACTCTCATCATCACTTATAGACTTTAAACATCAAAGACCTCTATGAGCAAACAAAGGTTCGAACCCAGTCACAATACTTCCTGAAGTTGTACTCCTCCAGCGCATATCTCATGGAGTCCAAAATCCTCAGAATCCGTTCTGAAATTTCTCCAGCCCCTGACCCCCCAACGAACGAGAATGAAATTTAGCACCAGCCCTACCGGAAGAATAAAATATTTGGGGTGTCTCAAACATAATGAACCGGAGGGCTGTAGGGAATGTTCATGAACCCCAACATGCTTCGGGCTCCCATCCTTAGCCAATGTCAAATTTCAAAGAAAAAAACACGCAATCACAGACTCCGAAAAAAAAGGGAGTAGAAGAGAGTGGGGATTTAAAAACAATAACAATAATATACAGTATATAATAGTATAATAGTAATAAAGTAAAACGGATCAACCTCTCTCACTTGGAGGGGTTCAAAACCTCACACCTCCAACCTTCTCAAAGACTCGTTCTCCACCGGCCACCGCCGGGTTCGAACACCACACTGGCGTCCCATGGTGCCGTGCGGTCTGTTTGTTTCGGGTGCGCGCGGTGCGCGGTTCGATGGAGAAGTTCCATATGGATCCTGGAAGGCCAACTAAGCCCAGCTGACTCATGGAGATGGAGAAGTTCCATCCTTCCCTTGGACCCCCAAAAAAATCGTCTGGGCCTCTGACGTTCTTCCCCCAGCTACTCGTCCGATCCAAGCAGCTGTTGTCGCACCGGGTGGTAGTCGACACCTCGCTCGTGGAATCGAACAAGTCGGCTCCCAAGCCCCCCAAAACCCAGACATTCCATGACTCCATGGGGACTGGAATGTCTGCCCAAATTGTTCATCCCCCCAAACCACCCCTGGCAGGAGTCAGATGGCAGTCCCAAACGGCAATGCTCCAGACCCTTTTCATCCTTCTTCAGCGAAACCCAATAGTCATGAGCATCAAATGAACATATCATGACATATCACCCACGAGCAGATACCACGTATACAAAACAAACACACACAAACAAACACAGACACAAGCAAAAAACGACAATGTCGTTTGGCAGGTGACATCGTGAGCATGGCCCAAACATCGACCCCCAACTCATTCGGCTAAGAGCTTCTTGATCATTTTCTATAGGGAATACATGATTCGCTCCCATGCTCAACTGTTCATGTTTCGAACCACTACTGAAGGTTGCTAGAACGAATGCTCTCCAATATAAAACACACATACATAAACTGTCTAGAAACCAGCTAAAAATCAAAACCCCTGTTCGTGTTTTTGCCTCAGAAACTCTCTTCTTCTGTCCAGCTCCCTGCCACATCCTGTCACCCAGCAACCCCCGGTGCGCCCAACGGACGGTGCGCCCAACGGACGCTTCTCCCCTGCGGTTCTGCGCCTGTGCCGGCACCCGAGCCCTCGGGCGGGGCGCCCTGGCCCTTGTAGGAGGCGGAGTACTTGGCTCGGCCGCCGTTGGAGGGGTTGGAGCCATAGCCACCGTCACCAGAGAAGCTGTACCTCAGTGAGGGGTATTACCGGGGAGGTGGAAAATGACAGTGAGCAGTGAGAAGGGATGAAAGTCCTAGAACTGGTTTTTGCAAAGGTCAAATGATCAAATGGGTGTGGTCAGAACCTGGACAAGGAAATCCAGCGCTGAAGACCTATGAAATTGAGAAACCAATTCTTGTGGACTACAAGAATAGTACAGTACGGAGATTTGAGGCACAGCTAGATAAGAACTGCTTACAATCGGAAATGGGTTGCAGAATGTCCAGATTTCTAGAGCCACGACCTTTCTCGGAGCAAAACAAGGTGCCGCGCGATGTGATTTCCACTGGATACAGTGCAAAGGAAGAGTGGGGTCGGACATTTGGGAATAAGACGGAAGCTCAAAATCTAAGTCTAGATGCATATAGTATCTATCTATCTATCTATCCATCCATCCATCCATCCATCCAGCCAGCCAGCCAGCCATCCATCCATCCATCCATCCATCTATCTATCCATCTATCTATCTATCCATCTTCTATATATATATATATACCCATAGTTTGTTGTACAAAAATGCGGGGGGAGGTGTATTAAAAAAAGAAAAAACAGAACTGCTCTTTGGGAGAGACTTCCACCACACTCCGCCGCATCGGTCGCCCAGGCACTGGTGGCCCCACCAAATGTTGAAGGCACCGAAGTCTGTTTGGCACCTGTGTTTGACACGTCCGACCGCGGACGTCCGCGGACGGTGACGACTGCGGACCCCGTGAGGGTGGCAGACTGTAGGCCACTGCCGCGGCCTGGAATACTTCGTGGCAGAGTAGAGCCAGGCATCTCCACCAGCATCCGCATGGCCTCAGGACCGCGCCCGTGCGATCCGTGCGGATGATCGTTTACATCTACCAGGTGTGCTTCAAAGTGTATCGAGCATGTTCCTTTCTTGTGTAGGTCATGTCGATCGGGTCGATCGTGACATACGAGGTATACCACCAGCAGTCTTTCCCTTCTGAGCACTAGAGGTCCACAACGGAATACCTGTCATGGCTCCACACTCTGTTGCGTACTATTGACAATAGTCGTCCAGTTAAAATCTTAAGTTCCGGATCTCGGTAATTACTTAGAACATGTCTTACACCAAAAAAGGTAAAAACAGGTAACTCATTACAAGATTGCAGGTCATACAGGTAACACAAGAAGGTAACTCACCCTGATGTCTGAATCGTCACCAAGGCATCACCCTGTTCTGAACGAAGCTTGCCATGTTCTGAACAAAGCTGGTGTGCTCCCCATCGGGGTGGCCCGGATAGGGCCGCCGGGGCCGTCCAGACCCACCGTTCGCGAAGAAGACATGCGTGGGAGGGCTTTGCATCATCTAGGTAGAGACATCGTCCGTCTAACGGCCTTGCTACCCTGTTTGAGACTCAAACCCCCGCGATCGACCCAAAAGAAAAGTGCCAAAAAACCGTGGCTTGCTTTATGCCGATCATGCATGTGAATGTGCTCTTCTTGACGGTAAACATGGGGGCGGGGCCGGCGCCAACTTGGCCGCCCAAAGCCGCTGTGAGGTTCCGAGGGCCGAAGCTGAGGCCGCGCCACGGTCAAAGAGCATGATGTTCTCGTTCTTGTGGAGCATATACCTGGTCAACTTCTGAATAGAGCTCTTTGTGAAGATGCTCCAACGAAACAAATTACACACCGTAGACCCCAAACAGGTGGGACAACAACGAAGCATTCCCAAGTCCACTGTTTGGGGAATTAAATAGAAACTCCAGCAAAGAGTCTCACAGTGTCCCAGGATGACTCAAAGTTGGACATGACATGCCAAAGACAATCCTGGTGATAAGTGAAAAGAATGTGCCACTACATTCAAAGCCATCAGGCAAAACCACTGTGAACGGTGTTCCGGTAGTTTCTCATGCATATGGAGCTACCACTCATGAGATTTGGTACAAAGGTACACATCGTTTCTAAACCGTTTCTAATCTTCGGTGGATCCCATGTCATCTGCGCCTAGTAACCTAGTAGAACTGGCAGTTGTGTTCCATGCTTCAACCCAACTATACAAATCGAAAGCACTTTGCTGTCTTCTTTCCTGTCATCTTTTTCTCTCATTGATGTAGTTCCAAACACTGTTTCTTCGGTTTCTCATTGTTGCTTCACATTTTGTCCACGAGCCAATTCGGACTATTGAACGGCGCTAACGCCTCATTCACAGCTACCACAGGTACGATGTGGCATGGACACCTCAAAACACGTCGTTTCAAGCAGTTGATCAGAATGTAGAAGCCTGACGATGGGAACGGTGAAATGGAGGCCCTGGTCATCTCCAACTGGCGGGCCCGATACGAGACTTCCCCAAAGCGAAGGAACAATAACCTATGGCCTATGGAACTTTGTCCGCCCTTCTCACCATCACCCAATTCGTTAAAACTCGATGATTGTCTGGCACTTGCCGAGCACTTTCGTGTGTGCCCGTGAGCCATTCCGGAAAAGTCGTGGACGAATCTTGGTCGGGAAATCACTTTCAAACAAAGCCCAAACTGCTGCTGCCAATTCTGTATGATCTCTTGGAACCCCCTCCACCACCTGTCGAATTTGTGGAAAGTTGAGGAGTGAGGACCCTCCCTTGTCGCAGTGCTCGCTTCAAGATCAGCGAGCGACTCCATGGCCATCTTCACGCCATAGAAGCCGCCACCTGAGGGTCTTCACCGGCTCATGCTCCACTGCTTGGACACCAAGTCAACATATAGACTGACATGGATATCAACTTTGAAACCCCCCGTCCCAACCAGAAATTGTGTAATGGGCCATTTCCTATGTAAAGGATTTCCAGCTGGTGCCATATTGGAAACACCCAGAACTGTCTCTGGTTGGGACTGGGGGTTCGATCACCTCTCAAACATCACGGACCTCGCCACCGGCCAAACGGCCAAACCCATGCCGACCGGTGGAAAAGCGCCCAAGGCCGCCAAGGCGCCGCGAGAACTGAGCGGTCAGGTCAGTTGGACCATTGGCACCGTTGTTGGTTCTTTCCCCCGCACGTGTCTATCTGCTCGCTGTCTGCGCACCGTGGCCTCTCCCTCACCTACAGGCCTTTCCATCACCTCGATGGTTGCTTCCAAGTTGCCAATGATGCACACTGGATGTGGCCAAGGATACCGGGCATGCTGGAAATCCTGAGGCGCTCCACCAGTCGTCAACTTTGAACATCCATTTCAGTTCATGTATATAGTGACTGCTGCTGGGAGGGATGTTGACTCACGAGAAAGGCGCAAGGTCCAGGTGCAAACACTAACTTGGCAGTTCAACCTGGTGTGGGTGTTTGTGGGTGTCCCCATCGCCGCAGTGGGGACTTCCTCTACCTGGCTCTTCCCTGCCTTTTGACGCTTGGCTTCTTTGGGCAAAACCACGACAGGTGGGTTTGTTTTTCGTCTGTGCGGTTCAAATGGATTGCATCGCCCTCCCACATGTTCCACCCCTCGTGGCAGTCTTTCCCCACATAGGGATCACTGGATATAGGGCTTAGTGGATTCGAATCCTGAATGGTCAAGGGTTCGAAGCTGAACATGCTGTGCCCCATCCACATCGGGACACGTCTTCTTCTACCACGGGAAACAATAAGGATGGACAATAACTATAATAACAGACGTTCACACACTTTGGCGATGAAAACCAAAAACAGCGGGCTCGAAAACCGCAGTGGGTTCTACATGGCGTTAGAACATTTACAAATCTTTACAGTATTTCTCAAAGTCAACATCCTCAAGCCAAGATTGTTGTGATCGTCTTTCGATGAAATTCAAAGAACAAAAAACATGGAATATGGTCAGCACATTGTTCCAGCACCTGCCTGATGGACGTTCCTTGGTCCAAAGAATCACATCTGGTTCCACCTCCCAACCGAGCGAGGCGCCTCCACGCCCTCCACGACCATCACCGCTGGCACAGTGGAGTCTGCAGCCAGTGCGCGGCCCTCCGGCGAGGAGGCCGTGAGCCTGAAAGGCTTGGCTCGGAGAAGCGCGGCTGTGAAGCCTTCCTTAGCCTTCCCCATGTGGGAAGACCGTTGGGGAAATCTACGTGCCCTTTGGAGAAGAACAACAAGAACTGGCAGTCTTTGTTGATTATTGGTGTGGACATTGTCTTTGAGGACCGGAAGAATAAGTTGAACCGGGAATGTTCCTCACGAAGTAGTTGAACAAACTGATGCAAATGGCTTTAACTTTCGTGAGTCGCAAGAAGGGATCAGGTTGGAGGCACATGGAGGCAATAGCTCATGCCACAATTGGAGAGATATTACAATGTCGCTGAGGATAATCAAGTCCGAAGACTCCCAAAAGGTCTTCCAGGACAAAAAAAAAGCAATTCACTTCGTGAGGCATGTGTGTTTCCGTGGTTTGTTGATAGAGGGTAGATCCTGTCTTTCGTGGTCTGTCCTTGGGTGTTTGAGTCCACAAGCAAGAGAATTAATTACCAAGAAATGGGTGATTTAAAGGCCAGCGCCAAGGGGCCCAATCTATGCAGCTCCTAAAGAAAAAAGTGGCTTCCGCATCCCACAACTTTGAAGGTAACACTCTCCTTCTTATGTGAATTAACCAGTTCAATCTTGCAACACATTCAGCGGTACCTCTCCAGGGAACCTCCATCCATGGACGTCGAAGCGGTGTTTTGCGCTCTTTCAATGCTCCGCATGGAAAATTTATCGTCCAAAATGCTCATGTAGGACCCTCACAACGAGGGTGTTGGACCTCAAACATGTAGCAGGTTGAGGGTCCGGGTCCATTCGTCCTTGGGTGCGGTTCTTCGCTCCCCGAAGACGTTGGTTTCTTCGCGAGCCGAACCCGTACCGCGAGCCGAACCCGGCACCGGTGGAATCGTTGATGCGTACGGAAGAAGCCGTATGGAAGATCCAGTCCGACATCCAATGACTCTTTTTGGTACAGTAAAGAACGTCCTTTTCGGACATGGTCGACAGAAACACACCAAAAGAGAGGTGCCTGTTGTGTAGTGAGTGGGGCCGTTTTGGCCAGGGAGTGCCAAGGTGCTTCGCACCCATGCGATAGCTGAACATCTTATCCACCGCAGCAAGCATGTCACCCACCGTGGTCTCCGCTTCGGCCGGCCTCGCGAAGCCGTCACTGGTCCGACGAGGTGACACGTGGTCGGACGGTCGGACTGTGAAAAAAGGAAAACCTTCACGAATGTCAGGAATTCCGAGACTCTGGCATCCAATCCAACAACAAAGTAGAGAATTTGAAAAGAATGTTCCTCTTCTTTGGCAGAGATGAACATGTTTAAAAGTGACTTCCGCACTAGTCTATGGAGTGTTTGTTGAATGGAGTTGCACTTCAAGCTAGAAACTGGAGGCTATCTCAAAGAAGGCATGTCCCGGTGAAGTTCGAACAGTCAGATGATCTTCTTCGGAGTCTGATGAAGCTGCCGCGGAGTGGCATCCCCTTTTTGGAAACATCCTCAACTCTATACGAGTGGCATGTCAAGAGTCTCCTCCTTGCCCTTGACCTTCAGGGTCACCGCCTGAAAGCCAGAGCTTTTCTGTGAGCATCTCTGAGCTGTGCAAGAGAAGAAGCGAAAAGAACGAAAAGTCCTTGCTACGGTCGTAGCTTCTTGTTCCTAGTAGCGATGGCCTCCAACCTACTTGCGATGGCCTCTACCTAATAGCGTCCTTGCTACTAGATGAAGACTTGCCGACTTGCCAAAGGAGATGTACCACTCTGTTGCGAAGTTTCAGGAGGTCGAGGGGAGAAATATCCGTTCCCAATGTAATGTTTCTGTAAACCCTCACACAAGCAGGCTTTTCGGGTGATGTCGACCACTTCCCTCTCGTTCATCCAAGATGAACAGAAAAACTGTGAACACATTGAGGTCCAAGCAGCTTCAACCACCCAACGATGTTTGGGTCTAGAGTCTAATCAAACAAAAACTGCATGATCTGTGCAGATTTCACACACGGTGCGTCCACAAGACAGGGGGTCCACGCTCGACCCAACACGACTCCACTGCACCAGAGCCCGAGCGTGGTAAGAGCACGAGGGGAAGAAGAGCCCGAGCGAGCTTCGAGGCAGAGCTACTGAGCGTGTTTTGTGACGAAGGAAGTGTCTTCGATCCACCCGATCTTCTGACACCAACGGTGACACGATTGCGGCCTCCAAAAACAATACGATTCCTCGGTATTTCAGAGATCCCAAGATCCCAAGATTCATATTAGAGTCAGCAGGGGAGAAACGCTGTGCCCTTCATTCAGGAGGCTCAGATGACACAACAGGGAAAGTTCTCACCCGACATTGCCACACCAGAACACGTACGACTGCTTCCGGCAAATCTCGAACAGAACGACCTCCCTTTAGACACTGTCTTTGCCGTCCACCCACCTTGAACTTGCTCTTCTTCTTCCCTGTGTCGAAGAACTTATCATGTTCGCCTGCGTGCACCAAGGACCCACAGCACCCCCCTGGGTCGGGCACTTGGTGTTCCGGGTCGCATGGACCGCGACCCCCAAAAAGCACCGGACCTGAGTGACCGTCACAACAATCTCCTTCCCTGGCCAAGGAGCAACAATGGTCCTACGAGATATCTTTTAGAGAGACCGCAAGTGTAGGGGTCAGGCCTGAGGGACTGCCCTTTTGTGATCTTTTTGGATGTTTAAAATTTAAAAGAACCTGTAAAACTTGTAAAAAATACATACAAACTGCCCTCAGCCTCACACCTGTTTCTCCAGTATCACTTCTAGGTGGGTGACCACCGACCACGCATCGGAGGCAGGACGATTTCGAGGAAACTCCGCGCACCGGAACGGCCACGCGAACGATGCCTTTCAGAAGCAGGACATCGCACTCAAACCTTGGGATGTGCCGAAGACACGACGAATTGAGTTCACCCGGACAGAATCGCAGACCCCAACCCGGACAGAATCGCCCTCCAACAAGCAGGATTTGCTGCATGTCGACTTCACTGGTTGACTTGAGCGGCTGGCAGAAATCACACTCAACTTGGGTAGCAGCGGCTCCCAAGCACAAAACGCCTGGGTTGCTACGCCTCTTGGTGTTATGACTCAATACGCAGGAGTCCATACCCATGTCATCTGAGTTTTTGACCGATGAGAACTGCTGTGACCCCGAAAGTTCGGGCCATCGAAGTTCGCTCCATCCTCAGTCTTTCATCGATTCCTTCCTGACGATTCGCTTTTTTCCCAAGGAACTTGTGGTAGAACGCGTCCAAGGTCTCACAGCCCATGGCCAAATCGCTGGCGTAGACCTTCCTGAGCCAGCTCGATCGAGCCAGTCGCTGGCGATCAACGGTGGCGATGGTGGTTAAGGTCCCAGCCAGGTGCGGATGCGTTTACAGAAAAAGAATCACGTGGGGTGAGATAACTTGCAGCACACAAGGAACTGGGGTCCTACAGTTTGAGGGTGGGAGCCACCAAGATCCTAAAAGTAGGACTGGAGCACCGAAAATGACGTGAAATGACCCTCTGCATCAGGGACAATGACGCCCTCACGGCTCACGGGAAAAAAACTGGATGGACATGGATGGAGAAGGAAGTCATGCACGACGCTTCTTAACATTGGAAAATCGACCTGTTCAACACCAGTTTCATCTAGAAAGGGCCGCAGAGGGGGTATTGGACTCCCTGGCACTCTGAATCCATCAGCTACACACCACTTGAAGAAGTAGTTCAACCCGTGGCGTGGCGGGCAGCTGTGGGGAACACTGCTTAGCCATGATGCTTTGATGCATCGCTCGCAGAAGAAATGGACTTGGCAGGCATGTTATCCAAGGAGGGCCCGGTTTTCATTTGGAGTGTTTGTTTATGTGTGACTCTTGTGCTGTTTTTTTTTGTATTAGTATTTTGTGAGTTGCTGAAGCTGTGGGGCTGCTGGAGCGGTTTCCATTCAACCTATTTGCAGCATCTCGGTGGTCGCCGGAGCCTCCACAGGTGGCTCGGCTTGGCTTGCTTTGCAAGGCAGCCAGGTGTTGTAACAACGACCTCAAAATGACCCACGTTTTTGAGGAGGTGAGCAGGCGAACCTCTCTCGCCTAAGGCCATTCAAGTGAAGTGTTCATCTAGCTCAGAAAGACCATAGGAGCTACACCCGACCAGCGGAGCCGTTTCCGGCCAGCGGTGGCCCTCTTCCGGCACACACGAGGTGTGCTACTCTCAAGTGTCACCCTCGGGTGGTCGAACCAAAAGGTATGCTAAGTTGCAATGGCTCCTTCCTGCTCCAAGTTGGAATCGCTCCTTGCTCGAAATGTTCCGTTGCTCCTTCCCTTCCCTTCCCTTCCCTTCCCTCCTTCCTTCAGTCCGGACCTCGGACACAGCAAAAGGCCAGCGGAAGCAAAAGGATGCAGGAATTCAGTGAAGGAAGGAAGCGGCTTTCGTCGCTCCGTCGCCCAAGCGTGTAGCAGTGTAGCAGGCCCCCGCTTTGACGGGACATGCCAGAGAGGGTCTAATGAGTCTAATGCTCAGCGCATTCCGGAGGACGGGGTCTCATTGCCTGCACTGTGGTATTGGATGAGACCAGGGCAGTTGCCGGGGCTCGGCATTAATTACTCTGGTCTTTCGCCAGCAGATATTCTGTGGGCTCCAATACATCTTTGAGCCACCAATCCTCGCCAGAAATGCATCTTCCTGCCGCTCGGCAGCTCCACATGTCACACGGATGTGCTAGTGCCAGCGCAGTTGATCTAGTGCCAGCGGATCTTCTGAAGCAAAGCTGTGAAAGAGAGGTAGACTTTGACCTGAGCCATTTCTTGGGCCCTGGCTGGCCGTGGCCCTGCTAGGTGTCTACAAAACACTTGGAATCTGTGTCCAGACGAGGCTTTTGAGGAGAAAGCCCAAAGGACCCGAGTGGACTCGGGTCTATGATCGTCCTCTCCAGGGCGCTTCTTTGGTTACTAACTACAACGTGTTGGACCCACATCAATTTGTATGTCCAGTGTTCCTCCGAAAGATCTAAAAGTGATGCCATGATCAACATGTCTCCAATCAAGTCTCGAATGTGCTCGATCCAGAAGGAGTCTAAACTTCGCCATCTTCACGGTCCAAAATGAGTCCTTCTTCACTGATCTTCGGAACATGTCAGAGTCCAGAAGTGAAAAAAGAAACGACGGCAAACGGGGCCCAAGGTTCTTGTTGATCCGCTCGTAGTTCAAGTAGCTGAAGGCCTTGACCACCTGGAGACATGTGAGGCTCGTCATGACCGGGTGCGGTGGGAAGCAAGAAAAAGAACCACAGCACCACAGAAAAAAATACAAACATATAATTCAATGTATTTATATATATAATCCTGGAAACCCAAACAACCGGAAACAACTAGTTGTTCCGATATGGCAACTGAAATCCTTTACATAGGAAACGGCTGTTTGGGGAAACACCCAGTGGTTTCTGGTAGTCGGGGTTTCCAGGATGAAACCTATAACCCTGTGATTTAACCGTACGAGGCCCGGGTGCTCCATGAAATCAGTATTGATCTCTTCCATTTCGAACCTCACAACAGCAAACCAAGCACTGTTTCGCCCTTTCGCTGAGCCCGGGGGGGGTTCGGTCTACCACCGCCTAAGAGGTGAAAACATGCGCCGTGACAGTGGTCCAAAAGACGGTGTGACAGTGGTCTTCTTCCCTGGGTTGGTTGCTTTGTGTTGCTTCACCCCACCCCTTTTTAGGTTTTCGCAACTTAGACCCCAAACCTTCCGATTGTCCCCCCAAACCAGGATGGGAGATGTTTCTCCACTCGGTTGGGACCTCTCGGCTGTTTTGCTCAGAGCAGCCCCACGGTCGCTGCGCTGAGCACTCGGTTGGGCCCAGCCTTCTCGGTTGTACCGCTCGGTTGTACAGCTGATGTCGGTCAAAGGAAAGTAGACGAAAACCTGGATGGGGAATCTTTCCTTTTCTGAACGTCGCACTGGGAAAAACTGGGCCCACTTGGACGACTTCTCAGTCCCGTAACTCCCCCCAGATCTGCGCCTTGTTGGGATCCGACTTCAACTCCGTTTGCCCCTGCTCCGACAGCAGCGGCACATTGGGCGGCGCACGGTCAGCGACCACGACGGCGCTGGGGCCCAGGCCATATTTCACCTGAAATGATGGGCCAGGTCGGTGAGGTCAGTGAGGAAAAGGGTGTCTTGATGGTTCTTTGTGTATGGGATTTGAGTTGGGTGTGTCCAGAAACTGCTGTACCATGTTGTAACATGTTGTAAACCACCACTTTGGTTGGTCTTCTGAAGGTTCTTAAACCAACCGTATTCGGGATCAACCTCTTGATTTCGGACCATCTCTTTTTTCACCCCCTTCAAATAATGGGTGTTGCCATGCCCGTCCGGTCCCTGAAAAAATCCTCCGGTCCAAGGCGCAAGAATCGTCTTGGACAAGGAGACAAGCAGCTGACAACCAACAGACCTTCCCATGAACACGAATGGAGCACCTGCGCCGCGCAAACGAAGTCTTGGGCGGGACAAAGTCTTGCTGTGACAAAGAACCCAGTCAGTGCACGAGGGGTGGTCCAGAGAGCGGTTTTGAATGGTTCTGAGCTGATTCCACAATCGACGCACCTGACCACTTGCTGCAGAATGTGTTCAAATGGATTGCGATCGTTTCGAATTGTTACCAGTTTCGCAAGACAAACACTTCTTGCCAGTGACAACCCTCAACCTCCTGCAATCGGTGTGAATTTCCGATGTTCTGATCTCTATGCCGGCAACCTAAGCAACAAAATACCCTTGAGCAACAAAAGACCCTTTCAAAAATCAAGATCATCACCTTGCCCTTTCTTGGAGGTCTGGATCATCTGGTGGACTCCAATGAACCTTTAATCTTCCAAACAATGTCTTCCAAACAATGTCTGGATCATCAAGGAAGATGTCTGCCGTGTCCGCCATGTCTGTCGAGCCTTCCCCGTTAGGACCCCCGAGTCGGCGCGTCTGTCGAGCCTTCATACTTGGCACCTTCGCCTAGTTCCTGCGCCAGTCGTGGGGAACGAGGGAATCGTTGGCGCTGAGAAGGGAGTCCTTCCCATCCATTCGGTTGGCACTTCTCGGCGGTGAGTTTGACCAAGCACGCTGTGTCACCAATTGCGCTCGGCTAAGCAAGAAGAACAAGAAGAAGATGATACCAGAAGATACCAGAAGAATCAGTCAATTTGTGATTGACATGTTTTGAACATATTCTATCCCCAGCCTCTGTTGCATCTCACCGATACCCTGTCACGTCTTCCTTCACATTGGTGGCACCGTCGCTCCTCGATGGCTGGCTGGATGGACTCGAAGGCGTCCTTCGCCAGAGCTTCGAAGTCCTTCGCCGGCTCCTGGTGCAAGATGGAGCGCACGAGAATTGGTTCGGTGGTCGCCTTAAGTCAGCTAGAGATTCTGGGAAATCCCCTGTTTTGCCACTCAGAACCCGGTTTTTGGCGGCCAAGAGTTGGGTCCAGTTGGCCCCATTTTCTCGATGAGCACGTTGCCACTTGCTACAGAAAGACATACAAAAAATTGCCTATGGTTGTGCGTTTCAGTGCTGAAGATGTATCGGCGTTCTCGTTCTGGGGAAACTCCTCTGGGACATGGAGAAAGCAATCATGAACAACTCTCCGATCCTATCATCCACATCAGAAACAGCTCGAGAAAAAGAAAAGGCTGAAGACTGTTGATGAATCTGTCCCACCTCTTTGGATTGTAAAACGTCAGGCCTCCAGGGTTCTATGAATCGTCTACATGAAGAAGGACGGAACTCCACAAGGTCCGCGCCACAAGGACAAACCCCCTCTGTGCTCGACACCGACCACCGAGCCCGCTCCTCACTGGCACGCCAGCCGTGGCCTGGGTACTCATAGATGCCCATCTCAACCCACTTGGGGAGACCCTGGCAGATGAACTTCATGTCTTCCGCCGTGTCCTCAGGGTCCGATGGCGGGTCCATCCAGAATGGCCCTGGCGAACCCCAGGTTGCGACTCCCACGCAACGGCGAAGCGATCGAATGAGGGATGCATAGCGGTTTTTCTTCTTTCTCTCTATCATTGGCCAGTACGAGGGGTGGGGCTTTGGGCTTCTGAGTTAGAATGATATTTTGAAATGGATCGTGTCCTATTCACGCCATCTGCGCGACCTAAGTCTCCCAGGTGCTTGCCCAAGTTTTTACGGCTCGTCCCATGTTCGAAACGGGGCTAGATTATAGGTCAACTGGGTTTTTGTATTTTTAAGTTGTTTACGGGACAATTGTCATTCGCCGGTGGACGACTTTTTTCGGAGAGAGGGTGTTGACCAAAGAGCTCTCTAAGAAATATCAAAGAACTTCCAAAACACAGCGCAGCAAGGTCCTTGCTACATCTGGAGCTCAGAAGGGGCACTTTACTTGAAGGAAATAAACAGGTGGCATGTTGGAGAAGATAAGCTATGAGAGGTGAACTCAAACTCCCCTCCAGCCCTTGGATGCCTTAGATCCTCAAGTTTCACTCTTGCCCGGTTGATACCTGGTAGCAAAACCCCCCCCAAGACGTTCAGATGAAAAAGCAAACCATGGACATCAAGATCTTCACTCAGTCCAAGCCACACCCGGGCCGTAGAACACAAATGCCCTCATCTTGATGCCGCCTCCACGGGTACCGTGCGGTGCTCTTGTAGGGAAAAGCTGGAGAACCAGACCGAAGATTCATTAAAAAAATTGATGAATATATGTAATTAGTTATATATGATCTGATGATATGCTGCCCTCCCGTACGGAAGCCTGGCATCTTCCGGCTTCAAAAGTGCCACTGGGACCCCCACTGGGCCCCAACCTACAAGCCACGCCAAGCGCCCCAAATGTGCGAGCAAACACACACACACACATACTCATATACACATCACACACACACACACAATAAAAAAAAATAAGAAAAGGAGAGAGAGAGAGAGAGGGAGACACCGCGCTTGCGCGCATCGGCGCACCTTGAGGGTTGTTGATGCAGTCGAGCAACGGCAGGCCCTTGTTTCGGGGCATTGGCGCCATTGAGCCCGTAAACGCCTGGTCAGCTGACTCCCGTCAAGTCCACAGGTCTTGGATGGTCAGAGTGGAAAGGGTTCGACCTTATGGTGCAGGGATGCTGCTTTTTTTCTCTCAGCAAATGTGGGTTTCATGCAAGGCAGGTGCATTGCTGGCAATCACTGCCCTGCTAACAGCAAAACTCATCAAATGAGAGCAGGAAAATCAAACTTCTCTGGCGTTTTCGCCCGTCGCGACGGCGTTTTCGGTGCCTTGTCCATCGGTCTGACGGCTCTGTCTCGAGCGTAGGGTCGATGGGAAAATGTCGCCGTCGCTGGGTCCCCGAGGAGACTTCTCTGGGCGAAAGCGTTTCAAATGCAGCCAAACTTTCCGTTCGGCTCCCTTATTGGGAAATCGCGTCAAGGCAGCTTCTTCCGCAAGCACCCAACCGGAATGCCCAGGCAGTTGCAAAGTCATGTGTTTCAGCACTCGGGGTTGAAGGGTTGGATCAAGGAGACCTCTCTCCTCACTCCAATGGGACTGGAAGTAGCAGTGAATAGACATTTTATAACATGTTGATACATTTTGGACTCCTTCACAAGCATGGAACTTAAAACAGGGGATCAAAAGTTCCATAGTTGCCTTGGCAAGTCTCTGAAAACTTCACAGCTTTTGAACGCAACTTCTCCCATTCGGCGGGTTTCACCAGCTTGCGCAAGCTGGGCATGGTGGATCGCAACGCAGAAGGGACGTTGCTTGGCTGCTCATCACGTTGAAACCTCACATGCGCCTCAGTGATATCCTGGAACTCCGAGTCAACATCCACGAGCAAGGCCATCTCCTTCAGTTCGGAGAAGTAAGTCTGAAGCTGAGAACTTCTTCCAGTGCCTCCGGAAAGTGTCGACTTCGCGTCACGCTTAAAGCGCGCAGGGCTCTGTCTGCCTTGAGTTGGCAAAAGCACTGATGGGACGACATCGTCTCCTGCTTCCAGCTGTGGCCGGGAATCAGGATCTTCTTTGAAAGCGATCAAATGGTAAGGATCAGTTGCTCCAAAAAGACCTGTGAAAACACAGCACAAGAGGTTCATACAATCGTCCAAAAACCCATAAAGAAGTTCAGGTTTTAGATGTTAGATGGTTTTTGAACAAATCAGAATCTTCGAGAAACGAACAATAATCAATAATCTTGTTCGAACAAGACACCCAAAAACACCAAGAACCTAACGAAAAGAACCCTTTAACCGGAAAAAAGAACCCCGGGCACATCGCTTCGGCCCCTCCACATTCCCCCGCGCTTCACGAAACGGCCGAGGCCTGGTTTAGGGTTGAATCCTGATGTTTCGGAACGAAGAGGTCTCGTCTGAGCTCGCGGAGCTTGAAGCCAACAGTGGTTGCATGTTCTTTTCGCTTTACCCCCGCCTGGAACGGGCACATGGTAAATATCCGTGCCCACCCGTATGCCTGCAGATCCACGACAAGACACCCGCAAGCACAGCGGAGGTGCAATTGGTTTCGCGTCGGGTGCCTGATAGGCCTCCTTTGATTTGCTGGTCAGGTAACTCCAGGAAGAAGCTACTTCAGAAAACTTCATCACTCTTAATTCTACGAATTGGGTTTCACTTGGTCGCGGGGCGTATGACCATTTTCCATCATTTTCTCGCTTTTGGGTGGGGCCATCCACGACGTGAAAAACCAAAAGGCTTCTGCTCCGGTGCGGTTCCTTTCTCTCGCGCGTTTGTTTACACGCACGTCCCCAAGCATCGTTGGAGGCCTCAATGAACTCCCGAAAGCGCAAGCGCTGCGCATCGTCGATCAAGAGCTGTTCAAAGGACTTGCCTTTGAGGCTCACGTCGGAGAGAATCAGGTGTCTCAAGCATTGGCTGTCTTGGGCCACATTCATCTCGCTGTCCAAGAGCACGTCTCCATCACAGACACCTAAAAAGGGACGTGTCGCCACGAAAAAAAAGGACACGGACGTTCGTCAAGGCTGGAATGGAGTACTCAGGACTGCCCTTCACCATAATCAAAACGGTTCTCACTCATGACTGTCCTCAAACAATGTGTTTGTGCACTTGTGATGGGGTGAATAAGTTAAGAAATAAAGATGAAAGACATGCTCTCAAAGGAACACAATGATCATAGAACCTGAAGCCCCAAAAAAAATGATAGTTCATCGATGTCGACATGACAGAACTAGTTTGGTGGCTGTTGTCTTGCCTGCACTTTTCTGGTATCGTCATCGTGCTTTTCTTTCTTGTGAACATGGTCCATTTGCTCTGCTTTCAGTTCGTTTCCTTCCAGGGCCCACCTCTCAAGACGCGTCTGAAACTGGAAAGCAAGGACTCTGCATCGGCGGTGTCCAACTGTGCGTAGAAACGCCCCCGAAGGCCCAGATCGATGAAAATGGAGGATGCAATGGTTTCGACTAAGATAAAGAGTTGCCCTGAAGCAAAGGATGTGAGCTGTACTAAGATGTCGCCCTCAATCACCCAAACATGTAGAAACACCTCGACCAGGGTGTAAAGCACTTGGAACGGGATGGTGATCTTGGGGTCCAAGTGTGCCAAGACCAGGCAGAAACGCAATGCGGAGTGAAAGCCTTGCATGGTCGATCGCAGGCTGGTGTCTGACCAAGCCGATGCGACAATGCTTGCGAGTGCCACCATATGGCAAAAATAGGTGATGAGCTTCAGCCTTCGCCTAATCGGATCGGTGTCGGTGTCGACAATCGTATTTGACACGAAAAGCAAAACAAAGACGAAAGGCTTCAATCAACAAAGTATTGCACCAGCATAGACCCCAGATAGCAAAAACATGCAACAACTTTTTCTGGACTGCACCCTGCAGTGGCAACAGCTCCACAGCACACACAGGACCCTTTTTTACACTGGAAAAAAGACGCTGCAGTACAGCGTGGCGTGTCTCCACCACGCGCACAGCCAGCACCCAGCACAGGCACCCTATCTCCACCACGCGCACACCCAGCTCACAGCACCCACACCAGCACCACAGCCAGCACCAGCACCCGGCACCGGCACCCTGTCTCAAAAGCATGCAAGACTAGACTCAAGTTAGGTGCTGAACGTGGGAAGCTTCGGAGGCCGAATCGATTTGCTTCTTGTTCCTAGTAGTAAGGCCAGGAGATACTAGTAGCGTCCTTGCTCCTAGTAGCGATGCCCTTTGTTCCTAGTAGCTTCTTGTTACTAGTAGTAGACGTGGGGGAGCACGGAGGGGATGGGTGGGGGACGAGGGTGAAGGAGGAGAATGACCTGCATTTGATGCAACGCAGCCCCGCTGGCTCTCCCCATTCACCCAGAGAGAGTCACTTAGGTTTGCATGGAGGAGCTTCTGATCGCTTGTTCGCACAGAAGGACTTTTGAAAGATCTACCGAAGCACATGAATCCAATACTCAGCGTCACTTCACTGGTGTACTGAGTATCCACCGATGTCAGCGCAGATGCGGGGCATCTCGGCCCTCCCAGCATGCAGCTGATCTCGGTCTCCCACATATATCCGAACGCTTTGGTGTTTTTTTTGCCGGCATTCTTTGGGCTCTGTGATTTCGAGGGAGGAATTGTCCTCTTTCAACCGCATGATATGGTCTGGCCATTTTGGGCGTTGCACGCACTGGCGAAGTGGAAACCAGTAAAGAATACATGGTTATCAACTGTTGATGTGGCGACGGTGCTGCGGCGACGCTCCTGTGGAGATGGCACGACAAAGACTCCGAAAGCAAAACAGCCGGGCAGCCTCCTGTGGTGAATCTTATGACCATGGCCTCGTAGTCGTTAAGCAGCAGGACCGGGCAAGGGTCTGAGTCCAATTCACTCGTGACATCTTTTGTCGGGGCTTGAGTATATAGAGGCCCATTTTCTTGTTCCTAACCTCTATGACTCTAAGCCTTGAAGTTTGCAGATTTGAGTTCAGGATCACGAGGAAAAGGATGGCCATCGCTAGTAGGTTGGAGGCCATCACTATTAGGTTGGAGGCCATTGCTATTAGGTTGGAGATGAATGGGTCAGTTGGGTAGGAAGAGGGTGGCTCAACGCCCGACAAGGAGGGAGGTGATCTGCCCCTGCTTAATGCATAACGAAATAAAACCGAAGCCTGTCGCTGTCTCGCTCAAGAAAAAATCCTCCAGTTGCGTTTCAGCATGTTTCAGCTACCTAAGACCTGATCATGTCATCCAAGAAGCGGAGTCAGCTCCACATAATCCTGTGCTACTGATGTGAAGAGCACGTAGCCCACAAAGCAACCAGCAGTCTGTGTAGCAGAGTCTATCCCTGGGGTTGCCCAACCTGCATAGATTATGCCAAGCACAAGATTCATGTGAGAAAAGCAACAGCCAAATAATTTGAAGTTCCTCTTGCGATGCTGGGTCATCTCCTCCTGGCAGAGTTTCCAAAAACACGTCGCCGAGCTGAGCTGTGCTGGGATGGCAATCATCATCCAGTCCAAGTAGAAACAAATCCTGCCCTGTTTAAACCTTCACATCAAGGAGGGAACAGAACCTTCCCAGGTTCTCTGGCCTCTGGCTGACTGGTTGGTTTTGTTGCGAGCGAGTTTACAGAAGGTCTTTCTGCACCTTTCTTTAATTTGAACCCTACTAAATTAATACTTGACGTTTTCAGAGAAGGGAGCTTGAACAACACCAAATTGGAAAATGGTTTGCTCACGCTTCCTCGACCCTGGCTTCTTTCAGAGGATCTACGGCATTCCCTTCCATCCGCATCTGGATCCACCGCTGCAAGTCCACCAAGTCATTCGACGTGAGCCACACGTGGAGCGGGACCCAAAGCAGAGACAAGAGCACCACCATTGCCCAGGATTCCATCATTTTCCCGTCACGTGGAAAAGAGACCACAACAAAGGCCCTAACATGTCCTACTTACAAAGGTAACAAGGAAATTGACTTATTGTTTCTGTTTTCTGGCCCTTTTCTTCATGCTCAGGGTCTGATTCGTGCTCCGAACTTCAGGAATGTCAGGGGCCAAGAAGGACTCAGAAAGGACGGGCGGTTCCAGGGGACTGCACAAGCCACTCCCAACCCAAAAAAAGGGAAAAGGGTCACGAGAACCAAAGAAAGAAGAAAACCAGGTTTCAATGGAAAAAGAATGAAAAGGACCAACACCAAACCTCCAAACCTCCAAACCTGGAGGTTTGAACCCTCAAAAGAGACACTCGTGGACACTGACACCGTGGCCTTCTTCCCAAAAAGCAGGGTCACTGGGGAGTGCTGATGTGATATCTCTGCTCAACACAGTGATTGATCGACAATGGTTGTGGGCTGTGGCTGGGGTAGTGGGCTGGTCTGCTTGCACAACTCTGGTTGCATCTGTAGCCCTTGATTGGGCTTGAAGCGAACTACCAGCTAGAAAAAAAGGAAGCAACAAAACACCGACTGCAGCCGGCAGTCGGCAGAAAAAAACCAAACACATCGACCGAACGAGCTAGGTCCGGTCGGCCAAACCGACCAACTTCTGGCCTCCCCAGCAGGGCATCTGTCTCAAACTGATCCCTCCAGTTGACCAAAGGGTGATCCCTCCAGTTGACCGTATCAACCCAAAATCAATACCAATCCTTTAGGTCTATCCCATTACCAGGGCCCAGTGGATGATGATCGTTAGGTTACAGGATGTTGCAGGCCTCTCTCTTAAATAGTTGATGATGTATGTGTTTTCTTTGCTTTGATTACCGACGGCTCGGTTTGGGACAGACCCCGACGGCTCGTCCTTCTTGTCCGTCCTTCGTGTCACAGTCCGCACCTTCAGGCTTTTCTTCTGCATCGTGACGCCACTGAGGTTCGCCAAGGCCTTCGTGCGACGAACGGTGCGACTCCGTGGTTCACTGCCGGGGTGAACGAACGAGACGTCGGTGAAATGTGGTTTCAACAGACGTCCATGTAGGATCATGTTGGACAAAAGTGGGCGTGGCTGTAGCGCTGATGCTTCTGGTGGCGCTGGCGGTGATGATGATGATGATGATGATGATGATGATGATGACGAGGATGACGGTGGTGGTGGTGATGGTGGCGGGAGAACAGGAACAAACAAGAACGTTCACTGGCCCCTGCATCAGCAAAGTTGGCTTCCAGTGTTGACCTAACGATCACTAACCCGAAAAGACGTGGTGCGTTCTTTTGCAGGGTGCAGTATTGTTTGTAACCTATTGTAATCTTATTATCTGAATGTTGCTGTGGCTTTGGATTGCTCCAGGCTAGTCGGCTAGTCATGTGTGATTCCATCACCTGGCCGAATCTTCCAGGCTCGGGCAGTGGTGAACTCAAGCAATCCCACGTCGGCCCAGCAGAGGAAGCCACGTCTCTCCCGAAGCCGGCGATTCTTGATTGGTCTTTTTGCACATCTGATCCCGCTCTTCCGGAACATGTTCCAAAAACGACATAGTAAAAAGGCCGGCCCACTATATACTCCTACTACGACTACTCCTCTTACTGCTGATGCTGCCAAATGCTAGTGCTACTACTCCTACTTCTAACGCTGCAACACTTACAGCCTACAGCTATTGTTGGCCACTCGTACTACCACCACTTGTTCTACTCCCGGTCCCTCAACACCTCCATCCCACTTTCGCATGTACTTGGCTGGGGCACATCGGTGTCGCCCTCCGCAATCCTCTGTTCAATCGCTTCATCAAGGTCGTCAAAGTCCATCGCGGGAGTCGCTGTTCGCTGAGCTCGCGGAAATCGGGACAGGCTAAGTCTTGGCAAACCTTGTCAAAATTGCTGCAGCCAAGATCGGCAGCACGGTGCTTGCGATCAGGCAATTTCACGGAGGACGGAGGACTTGGGGTGCGTTTCACCACTGGGTTCTGGATTTTTCCTGTGGACACTATGGGTAGGTTCAGCCAATGCTGCACAAAACCAGAAGTACGATGAGGAGACGTCTCCTACCACACACGTTGTTCATGAATGTTCAGCAACACGTGCAATTGGAGAAGCTCTAATTCAGCAAAACAAGCCCAGATCCGGGCTCAGTTGCTCTCCAACTCATGCTGTGTTGAGATGCACAAGCTTTGTAAGAAATTTGTATGTGTGTATCCAGGAGTCCACTAGAAACGACCCAAAGCTAATGCATCTCCTCTGTCTTTTGTTTATTTATTCTCTCGTTGTTTTCTTTTCTTTGCACCTGTGGGGAGCCAGTGCAGCCAGGGCTGATCTCAAGTCAAAATGTATTCAACTGTTGCAAAGATGAAATGATGAAATGTCCCGGCTTTTTGAGAATCATGATTCAACTTAGGGTCTATCCTATTAGTAGTAACAGTGGATGATGATGATTAGTAAAGGCCTTTACAAGTAAGAGGACAGACCCAAATTCAACTATACAAAAAATGTTCTTTCCGTTGCATGGCTTCTTCTGGCTGGTCTTGCTTTCCGCAAGCTAATCTACAATAGATTCAATGGATTCTGAGTATATAAATACATCCCAAGAGGTCCGTGGCTAGGAAACTGGGCTCCTTCGGCCAACCGAAGGTGCGGAAACGGCGCGGACCGAAGCTGAAGAAGTGCTGAGTCGATATCCAGTATAGATCTTGGTATAGATCTTGGTATATCTTGGTGGGTCTGTGAGGATGATGACTACCTAGAAGAAGTGATCACGTCAGCGCCAGGGGCCGAACGGCCGCCATCTGCCCAGCGCCCGCCCAGGGCGCTGTTTCGCGGTGCTGGGCCTGTTTCGGAAGCGGAGCGAGGGCTGGTTTGGCAAGAGGGATCCCCTCACCGAGTCTCCTAGTCCTAGTTTGGTTTAGTCCAAATGAACATATTGATGTATGTTGATGTTGTCTACTAGTGATCCGGTGCTTTTGGAGAGGCATACATTGCCAAGTAGGAGTGGTTTTGCGTCGCCCGACGCATGGTTCAAGGTGGACCCTTCCTTCGGACCGGACATCACCAAACTGGAGAAATTGACCTTTTCACCGCAGGTCTGGTAGGTCTGGTCCTTCGAAGTCTTTGCTCGGACTCGTGTTTGAAGGATTGTTGTTTTAGTCGGAACCCCCCCTCGTCGGTTCGGGGTGCCTCGTCAGAAGTGGACACTTCTCCATTCTGGGTCGGGAGGCTTGAGTTTGGGGTCCTTGAGACCCTTCTTGATCCATCACGGTTGGTTGGAACCACAGAGCAGCGACGAGAGCAGCGAGCAGCGAGTAGTCACCCCTTTTTTTCGGTTCTCGAGCAGTGCATGGCAGCCATTCACTCCTGAAGGTGTGCCATACGATGAAAGAAAGGAGGTTCTCCATCCCACATGTTTGATCCTTCTATTCAACTCTAAGGTGTTCACGCTTGGTTCAGTGAAAACCCTCTACCTCCAGGAGGTTTCATGGTGAGTTTTCACCTCAGTGCGAAAAGCCACGTGTTTCTTCACTCAACATCCCGGTCGTACCTCCAGCCCATGGACCCGAGTGGCACAATGGCCGAACCAGCTCCACACGTGGAGCTAAACCCTGATGCACCGATGCACCGATGGAATTCGAAGAAATTGCTTCACACTGTCCACTGGATCGGTGATGCCATGAAGTGCCATGAAGTGCCATGGTGTGTCCGCCCTTGTCCTCGGATTGTTCGACGATGTTTCAGGTTCTACCACAGAGAAAAATCTACCCGTTGCAAAAAGAAATTTGTAGACATCCAATCTGAAAATGAGAACTTCATGATGCACCAACCTCAAGAAAGGATATCTCATGACTTTTCTGATGTTACTATTCCGCAGTTTTCCCTTTATTCAGCAGCAACATCCGGCGCATGCCACACCGTTGTCTGCCCCGAAACCCCCAAGGGACCAGTCAACCTGAGGAACTCCCCGTTGGAATTGAAGTCAGAAATCCAACCCAAAAGTTTCGGCGCCAGGCAACAAAAAACTTGTATATGTACTTGATGGTTTTCAGATTCCCACACGTGAGATTCCACTGAAAATGTTTCAAATGTCGACGGCCATCTTCTTCGAAAAAACACGCAGAATCTGAAAACCTCTCTCCTTCAACTCTCTCTTCTGCTGTGCCCAGCGGTGCAGCCCCAGCGCGGCCTGGACACAAATGGGGTGGGAGCCCCCAAACACACACAGAAACCCTATGGCGTGGACGGCAATTTGGGGGAGACCCTTGCTGGATGCAAAACCGACCAGAAAAATTTGCCAGCATAGACCCCCAAATAGCAAAAACATGTGTGTGTGTGGGCAGCGCCCTGCAGCGACACCAGCACCCAGGCTCCAATGCACAATGGTTCTCTCCATCTGGGCAAACAGTAGCGTAACCGTATTTTAGAACTTTTTGCGTCAACTGTAAACACTGATGGTGAAATGACGCCAGCATAGACCCCAGATCGCATTGGAATAACTTCACTCGCGCTTCACAACGCTCCTGAAAACATCACATTGGCCCAAAGAAAGGTGCACACCCAAAAACAACCGCACACAGCAGCGGCGCCCTGCAGCAGCACCAACACCCAAGCTCACACACCCACCCACGCACTCACTCCACTCACTCACTCACACACACGCACGCACGCACGCACTCACTCACTCTCATGCTCCCACGCGCACACGGCAGTGGCACCCCTGCAGCGGCACCAGCCACCAGCACTCCACACCAGCGGCACCCTGCAGATCCCTGCAGCGGCACCAGCATCCAAGCTCCCAAGCGCACAGCAGCGGCACCACAAGCACAGCAGCAGCGCTCTGCAGCGGCACCAACAGAAGCGGCGCCCTGCAGCGGCACCAGCACCCAGGCTCCCAAGCGCACACAGCAGCGGCACAGCGCGGCACCCTGCAGCGGCACCAGCACCCGGGCTCGAAAGCACACACACGCAGCTCTTCCTATGCTTGAAGAAGAACCCCGTGGCTCACGCTATCTGAGGAAAACACACACACCAAAAAAGAAAAACATTCTCTGAGAAACAAATGTAAATGGTCAGAATGCCCTGGCCACAAAAAGACCTCGGCAAAAGGAGGAAGCCTGAGTAAGCAACAGGGATGGACGTGTCCTCCACCTGCAGCTTAAATGCGCCCAGGCGCGACAACAAATACAGTGTGTTGTAAATGCGACACAGAGCTCATCTGACTGAGAAACATAGCTTGTTGCACGACCAGGTGAGCCGTGCCCGATGCTAAACTCCGAGCCGGTTGATTCTAGAAATTTCACCCATGCGCCCCAATGCGGTATGGCTCTGCCACGATCCTGCCCTCTAAAAATGGTTCGTTTCCACCATCCTGCTCGGACAGGTGGGTGCGAAAGCACATGGAAGGGTGGAAACGAGGACAAATGGAAGTACGAGAGAGACACAGAGAGAGAGAGAGAGACATGAAACGGCAAAGGTGTGTCAAGTTGCAATGAAGGGAAACCAAGTGAAGAGGGACAACCAATGAGCGTACCTCATTGTCACAAACCTGGCGCACTCAAAAGCATGGTTCCCGTGCAGGTTTGTGCAAATACGAGCAGATGTCTGAACAGATGCATCCGCAAGAGGGGAAAAGGAATGAGATGACGAGACCTGAAGACAAGGCGGACATGAAAAGAAGCCAGGAAGGTGTGTGAAGGCAAATGAAATGGGAACGAGGTGAAAGGAGATCAACCGGACAAAGCCAAACCTCATTAAACACACCTGGGCCAGCTCACTTCGTTTGTGAGCACGCCCCGCACAAGCTAAGAGAAGAAAAAGGAAACGGAGAGGAAGAAAGAGAAAGAGACGAAGGAGCAGAGACAGATTGGAGTGTTCCAAGTTCTTCATGGTCAACAAGTGGGGCGCCATTGGAAGAAGGAGAAAGAAACAAAGTAAACTCCATGTTTCCCCAGCTAAGACGCAAGCATCCAGTGACACCCCTGGTGGTACGAGAAGAAGAACGAGGACGGAGGACCAAAGAAATCAAAGAAATGTCAGGTGCTCCCACCTGCCACGCAAGAGTCCTGGGACAGACCACATAGAGAAAAGGAGGAATGAATCCCACCAAAGGATGCAAGAATTTCAAGGCAAACAAGTAAACGCCACCCGTATCATGAACACCTTGCTTACTTTTACGGAGGCAGCATGCCTTGCCGGGTGTTCAAGACCCAAGCTTTTTGCTGGCACCCATATGGCTCGTGTGCTCGATTGACCCCTTAGCGTTCAACTCTCTATGACTGTCTTCCAGGTACGTCCGAAGGGGACGACATGGTATGGGAAAAGTCATGCGTCTCCAAGCCCGACCACTTTCAAGGTGGCAACCCAAATCCGACCAGGAGGATTGTGAAGAAAACATGAAACAAAATTGAACGCCCAGGTCCATCCCTTGTGCATGTCATCTACCAGCAAAACTGATCTAGCCCTAAAGGGGAAAACAATAGTTGCTGTTTGCAAAAAACACAAACAAACATGTCAAACAAAAACTGAACACCTAAATACATCACGGCAGCACATAATATCATGCAATAATATGCAATATATGTACTGTATATGTATTTCAACTGTTACAAATAAATATGTAGTTTGGGTGGCTTCACCCCCGTTGGTACGGAATCGAAACCGTCTTTTTCTGCTGAACCACACCTGCAGCCACTCAAGCATCATCTTCGCCACCTGAGAAATTGCCACTCAGGTAGGATCTTGGAACGCCTACAACTGTGAGATGGCCTACACCTGGAACCCAGGAAAGGAACCGATCTCCACATGACCCCTGGAAACCCGATGGGAAAAGGCCACGGATGGGAAAAGGCCGTGGTGAGTTGTAGGTCCCTCGGTCACTCCGGATCTAGAAACCATGTAAACAGTGTATATATAATTGTATGCGCAAAATCGTGTGAAATCTGCGTGAAAAAAGTCCATCACTCAGCCAGTTGCCTGGGGTGTTCATCTACTTTGCTGCACATATGGCGTGGAGTTCAAAACCATGTCCTAAGCACAAAGAGCACGACCCTTTGTCCTTTGTTTTCAAGAAATTCTTGTAAGTTGTAAGTTGTCATGCTGTTACAGTCGGGAGCAACTCCTGCTTTGGCTTCAATTGTTTGCTCCTTGAAAACAATGGGGGTCTGCGTCAGTCTATAGACTGTTGTCAACCCAGTCTCAAAACAGAACTGCAGTTCCTCAAATGGATGGCAAGCTCCAACAAAATGTCTTGGCCGCGTTGATTGCTACCTTGCCAGAACAGCAAGATGTTTAATAAGTGACAGCATCGATCCAGATGTGCATGCTAAATAGCGTAGATGGGCTACCATGGATAGCATCATGTACCATCCAAATCCACTGGTCAAAGAACTCTATACATCGTGTGAGTTCCTGAGGTCTTGGGAGGTCTTGGGAGAGATCGTGGGCATTCTATGCCATCTGGGAGTTCCTTGCCGCGGGGAGACTCACTCTGATGTTTCACAAATGGCCGGGGGCTCCAAAAATCACATAAAATCACAATCCAAGTCATGCCAAGTCCATCAAACATGGACAAATAGAGGCATGGTGGGAGACTTATACAGATGCATTCCAGATTCACCATAACATTTAAATGAGATGAAGCAAAACAGTCTGTTCATCCACCTCCTCTTGGACGCATCCGCCCAATCCACCAACGGCCCGCCTCCGTGGCTTCATCAGCACACTCCAGTTCGAGACCGGCCACGTGCTTCTCGAGGTCATCAATTTCCTGGGAGATCTCGAAGTGAAACCCCAACGCAGCCCGAAGGGTGGGAATGAGTCAACACCAGCCCTTCAGCCGGAACGCTTCAAACATGAGAAGAACGGGAGGAGTCCAAAGCGACGTTTCGGTCCACCCGGACCCATCTGTGGTGGTCCGAGCACCAGCTCCGTCGATCTCCCGGTGCCAATGTGTATGGGTGGTCTTTCGGTCCCAAGACCTCCCATGTGCAAAGATGAACGGGGTATATCAATTCACCCAGTGATCCCGAAGAAATCCATTCACCTCACACCACGCCTGAAGAGATGGTCCCCTATGAGGGGAGCAGCTGGAAGCGGAAGGCGAACTTCCAGGGCAAACGTGCGTCCAGGACCCAAACACAAAAGGGTTTGGAGCGAAGTTTGTAGGAATTCTCATGAAGTTTGTTTGGGAATCCACAAAAAAATGGGAATCTCCATATCAATCCACTTCGATCATGAAGTAGGATTCCCAAGATGTGTGTGATGAACCAATGATCGACCAAAGGTGAAGTACGACTCTCCAATGGTCCAACGCCTCTTCGTCTTGAGCTAGGCTGAGTCATGCCGGAGTAGATGCCACAGTCACCTACCAAACCAACCAACCAACAAACCAACCAAACAAACAAAACAAACAAACCAAACAAACCAACCAACCAAAAAAAACAAAACAAACACTGACTGGTGTTTCTGAACATGAACCCCTTCTGCCTTTGACCTTAAGTGAGTCAACATGACCGGGATTCTGCGTTTGCCTCTATTCTCTCTGGTCACTCCGGCCTCTATCCCCACCAGTCCTCTGGCTTCATGTAGCTCAGGTCGCTCATGCCAACCAACTTGAAATCAGCCTCAGCGACACCGAACGCGGCACCGTCAGCAAGAAGCGGGGACGCGTCCTGCCCACGGGTGGACGCCGGCGTCCCGGTGGGGCGGAGGGGCGACACAAACAGACCAGTTGCGTCACTTCGGAACCTGGGATAAGAGTAACGTAGGAACCTCAGAAGGGGATTGACCCAGTTTGGGAAAAGAAAAAGTAACCTGACAAGCAAATGTATGGAAATGTCGAAGACGCCGCAAAGGGGGAAGAAATGAGATGGTGGGTCAGACTCGCTGGCATTCTGCCCAGTAAACGGTTTAGCTACAAATCTTGTTTCAAGCACAAGGCCTTTGTTGAAACCCTGAATTGGCATTCAGACAAATGCCCCAGAGAGGGAAATTTGGTATCTGTCCTTTTCTGGGTCTTTGTTCAAGAGCCGAATTCTCAAGGAAGCAATATGGAGCTATTACTGTACTGTACTGATTTGGGAGGGTTCCCTGGACACAGACCAACTTGGAGGCGGCCACAAAGGCAATCAATTCAGATCGCAGATCTGACTGGCCTCTGAATTCAGGCTGGTCACGGGCTCCTCTCTCACCATCTTGAGACATTGCTCAAAGCTCATCTCCTTCCCATGCAGGAGACACCACGCTTCCTTGGTGGGTAAGCAGCCAGCCAAAAGTTCCATGATGCGGGTGCATCAAGCATTTATGTCTATAGATCACTATAAGAGTGCATGGTTGGCGTGGCTCTAGCCTTAGCTTGAGCTTGATTCAATCCGGCTGATTAAACACATGGCACCTAAGGTTTCTTTTCCTCAACCTGGACGCTAGGCTGGTTCTCTGGATCTCACCCAACACCAACATGGAAACCAGAACCATGGAGGGCAGGAGGCAGCATTGAGTGTGAATGATTGTTATGGTTAGTCAAACACCCCCAGCATCTCTTTGCCAAGGAGTTGTTGACAGTCCAGGCTCTGAAAGATCGTACAACTAGCACACTTTTCGTGGAGTCTTTCTTGAGCCGAACTGCTCTGTCTCAAAACTGTGGAGACAGAGCCACACAAGCTGAGAGCAACCACGGAGGAATCAATTATCAACATGTTAACATGTTAGAAGAGGAACATCGTCTTCCGATTCCCAGCACTTGTTTAAAGACTTTCAGAGAACATCTAGAATCTACCAGAAACCCTGGTTTTAAGCTTAGCACCTCGGAACTGCTGCTCTCTCCAGCTCCGTGGGAAGGTCTTTCAACCAAGGGACCCTGCTTGACCGAGAATGAACAGGACAGGACCGACCATTTCATGCCTAGGAGGTCCAGGCTTTGGGATTTTCAGGTGTTCAGCCATTTCATGCCCACCTCGGAACAGAGTCCTTCCCTCCCCACGAAGGAACGAAAGTCTCTTCCCTCCCAAGGTTCCATGGTTGCCTTGACCGCGTCCGGCACCGTCTCCGCATCGAAGAAGGCTAAGGCCTCGCAAAGGTCGCTGTTTCTTTGGCTTCTTTTCTTTGGCATCCTGTGGGAACCTGTGGAAACCTGTGGGTTTGGAACCATTCTTGCCTCCACTGTTCTTTGGCTGTAGTGCTGGCTTCTTTTGTTTTTACTTCTTGCCACTTTTTCTGGCTCTTGGCGTCTGAATTTTGCTTTTCTGCCTCTTCACCCAGCCACCATTTCGGTGGTTGTGCGGCGCACAGGGAGCGCACAGGGAGCGCAGCCGTCGCGACCAGCGCGGTGTCGGATCGCTGGTGTTCGGCGGTGCTTTTCGGCCGAAAAGCTGCCGCCCTCGCTGAGGACGTCCTTCACCGTCCTGCTGGAGCCTCTTTCTCCTTTTGCCTCAATTTGGGCTATGAGAACTTCCAGCCTCCATGAAGGTGGGGTAAAAAGGTGGAACTCATTATGTTGAACCGTGAACGCGTGACACAGTCATCTACCGTTCGAGGTACGGAACAACTGAGACAGTCACCGAGAGACACTCTCGTCAGAGTGTCTCGATGTGCCCCCGGTCAGTCGGTGGGTCAGATGTGACATCCCGATGAAAAACGGACATGTCGATCCTTTTTTTGCGTCTTGCCATCTACAGAATCGCATAGAATGGTCATGAATGGTCTAGTACAGGGTCTGGTGCCATCATGTGGCATCCAGTCTCGGAGAAAAACTGTCTCCGTCCAGTTGCCCATCCATCCACGCCTGCAAGGACACGGCGCTCGAGCCCTTGAGGCGATCGTCCGCGTCCCGGAAGCGGTCCGCCTGGCTGTCCGGTCCGGTCGGTGCAAGCGAGTGGAGTGAACGACACGTCCGGGTCGTTGGAGTTCGAGTTCCGAGTTCCGAGTGGTCCAAAGAGTTCGAACTGCTGTGGCAGCACCCGAACATGGGTGTGGATCGTGGGATCATGTGGGATCAGGCGCCTGTAGGAAGTACCAAACACAAGCCACTATAGAGTCATCAGGTCTTCATCCCAAAAGATATCCTGCGTTTGAACTAGCTTCGGTGTGGCCGCAAACCACTAGCCTGTGGTGTGTTTGGACCCGTGCCCAAGCCTTGCTTCGGGACTGGGTCGTTCAAAGAGCCCGACCAGTCCACCATGTAGCGAATGCCCCACCGTCGGCAGGTCAACCAAAATCTCCTGGTTTTGACCGCCCAATGAGTCTTCTTGGTACACTCCGAGGAACGCATCACATCGAAGTTGGTCATCGGAATTCGGAAGATCGTCTTCCCACGGACCATGCCATCCACTTCCAGTGACTCGGAGGGTAACCATCATGTCCTCTCTCATCCAGGTATACCAGTCGCTTTGGGAGTGTTCAGGTTTTGTAAAAACCTGTACTGACATGTACTGACCCACCGGCAAGTGCCTGGGCGAGTGCCTGGTCGTGACCAGCGAGTGCAGCTGTCATCCTGATCCTGTCTTTACCAGCTTTACATACAGTAGACACTTCCCTAACCAAAGATAACCAAAGTATTGAACCGCTTAAGGAGTATCACTGTATCACAAAGGTCCACCGGGCCCGGCGAAAAACCGGGGGTCACTTCTTTGGAACCTTTGCGTAGCTGCAGCATCTCCAGGAAGACTCTGAACACCGAAAATGCAGGGCACCTCACTGCAGTCTGCCGGCGTTGCATTGAACTTGTCGGCAAAGGCCTGTTCAAAGCACCGCTCAAAGCACCGGGGGAACACCCTGGATGGTCGTTTTTTTCAGGGGTCACGTGGCGTCCATTATATATCCGTCCATCAGTTGAGAAGGTCTATCGGTTTCTCCTTGCTTTTCCCCACAACTATGTTCCAACTTCCTCTGGGCCCTCAAGTAGCTTTACTTCCGCGTCTCAGTTCCTCAGTGCCCCATGCCCTACCCCCCAGTCACCTCGGAAACCTTCGGATCTTGGGGTCCTGAGTTCCTCATGGCTGCTAGCCCCTCGGTCCAAACACTGCGTTCGGTCCGAACCCCCGAGTTCGGTCCTGTTCGGTCGAGTGACCGGCGCGACCGTTCGGCGGTCCCGGTTCCTTCGGCCGGGCCGTTCGTGTGTGAAAATCATGGCAAATGAAAACCAGCTGTTTGCTTAGTAGATCTGAGTAGAGGAAAATGATGGAAGATGGTCATCGAAGGGGCGATGCCAGACACTTCCATGATTGTTGCAGGGAGTGTAAATCGTTCGAGCATGCAGCATGAAAGAACAATCATATGCCAATTCAAAGAGACCACGAAATGTTGACATGTCCCAGGTAGTGACCCAACTAGGAATGTTTTGGTGACAACTGCATCTGTTTGGCTAAATCACTCCCAACAGTCAATGTCAAGCAGCGAGCGTTCAACCCATGACTTACAACCTATAGCTCTAGTGATGGTGTGCATCTCAGTGGTCTGCTGGTCTGCAGTTTCCTTTCGGAGAGATTCTGCCAATCTCTAAATAGACAAACAGAGTCGGACTGTGAGGCAAGGGTCTCACGCGCGACATCCTGTAACCGGATCGGACTCATTTGCCACACCGTGTCATGTGACTCGGCGATCGCAAAGCGCCCAACCCTGAGCGCGCCCCCTTTGACCCCACCCGCACCGCCCAAATGTGCATCTTCTTCTGGGTTTGGGTGGTTGTTTGAATTGGTTTACTCCAACGACCAAGGGTTTGCCCCTCGGGTCTAACCTTTCGGGTATAACGACCAATTGGTCTAACCCCTCGGGTTTGCTTTGGTCTCCTCAAACAACCATGTTGGTTCCAAATACCTGTCATACCAACAGCAACACTCCATCTTGAACAGTGACATGTCCCGCCTCCTGCGCAGCTTTCTTGTCGCTCATGGCTCATGGGTGCAGAATTGACGTCCGGGGCGGGTCGCACACAGCTGGAAGGACGACACCTCCATGGTGGTTGGACGTGTGGATGACACGCCCCTTGCATGTCAGTACGTGGACGTCGCTTGGCAATGGAAAACAACTCATAACTTGCATCTGAAGACCGAAGTTTCAAGTATCCTCCAAACAAGTAAAGACAAAATTCTTATCTTCCGGGCCGCGTAGTGTACAGGTGCATCCAAAGGAATTCTCATCAACAACCCAAAAGGCTCTTGATCATCTTACTTGTCAACAAGCTTTGGGGTGACCACTGCTTGCATACTACTGACGTACCAGAGTTGTTCCGCGTATTTTGGCTGACAATCCCATGTTGATGGCCATCAGAGTTTGCAATCAAAATATCCACGCCTCTCGGAATCTCTGGGTTGATTCGCCTAGATCTAGATGTTTCTCATCTGGCAGCCGCTAGAGCCAATCGGCCACGGCAGATAAACTGTCAGGTCAAGGCATGCCGAGCCTGCAGACATGGCGTCCACCCCAACGGTTGTCTCCACTGCAGCGCTGTGGCAGTAGGAACCTTTGGAGTTGACAACCCAAGAAGATCCCCAAAAAGGCGGGTTGCCAGCCAAATCTTGTTTTTTGGCGAAGTCGCGGCCAAACTCCTTCTCTAGCCGCATCCAAACTCCGCCTTCATTGGATGCGCGGACTTGCGGTTCTCGCCCCCACTCTGGATGGTCCAAATCACGCAAAGCTCGACCCAGCTTCCATCCGTTCGAACCCAGCCGGCGGCTGGAACGGCGTTTTCCATCCAAGCCCTCGCCGTTGGGCGAGGAACGAACGGCGTTTCACGCTGCGGGGTGGCCGGCGCGGGGTGAAACGTGCTAAGCATTTGGAGCCCCACGGCGCAGACTCTGGCGGAAGACTCGTTGGGTTAGACTGAGTGAGATGTGCGGAAAGCTTCGACTTGAGTGTTTCATCGGCCATCCAAACTCTGCTCAACCGCAGTTCAACCAGGAAAGTCACCAGAATATTGGCTTTACAAGAACCATGAGCCAAGCTCTTCCGCCCAGATGCGAACCTGCTGAAACCAAGCCAGCCGTCTGCAACAGTCCCAGGGTTCGACGAAGGTCACATTCGGAAGCACAAAGGAACAAGCCGTTGAACTTGGATACAACTGTGTCTGTGAGAGGGAAAGGCTTGGGACAGGTTCCCAGTTGATAGCACAAATAGTGTGCTTGAATTTATCTAGCCACAATATACTGCAGTAAAATAATTTATGTAACAAAACTCTCAAAGCAAATTGTAGAACCAGTGAACGCGTGCGGCTCTTTTGCATGTCGCGCGGCGAAAAGTGGGGGCCGAATACTGCAGTTGTCCGGTAGTCTGCGTGGTGATTTGATTTCAAGCGGTGTAAAAAGGTATAACTATATACCCTCCCGCAAACGGACCACACGGAACCTGAGAATTGTCCGGTGGTTTCGACCGTTGTCCGTATACCAACCCGACGTGGTTTTGGGGAGATGATGTGGTCCTCTGCAGGGAGGACCAAAGGATTGCATTCACACCTGCAGTTTCCGATCCCCACAGACTACGGACTGAAACCTGAACCGGACGACTTGCTGTGACCAACAAAACATCGGCAGTTGTCTGTGCCCATAACCAAAAGTATTGCAACACGTGGGCTTGATGTAGTAAAGCTAAGCGATTAGGATTAAGACTAGGAACATTACATTAAATACTTTAAACACCTTCTAAAAATTGTAGGCTTTATGAAATGCATTAAGTGCATTCATGGCATTTAAGGATGTACCGCGCTTGCCAGCACGAAGGAATGCACACAAAGCCGGTTACCCGGGGAACCGGAGACATCGCAATGGCTCTGATCATAGCGTTGGTGGGCTGGTCGTTCCCTACATGGTGGACTGACTGGTCTGGCTCGAGACATGACTGGTTTTGGGGGTGCAGTAGGGACTCAGTAGGGAGACCGCCCTGGCCCTGGCTGGGTAGACTGGTCGTTTTCTTCTTCCTGGGGATCCTTGCCTGCGAGGTCTCCCTATTTTAATACACACACATGTGGCTAAGGTTATCGATGATATATAAGTGAACCTCTCCTCTCTGAGGACCCAACAACCCGATGAATGCTCTGGCATTCACTGTCCCTCACATCTCGCTCGCACATTCTGAGTGTTGGCATCGGGGGTCGTCCATCATGATCCTACTCACTGGGTTGTATCTGCTCGTCCCAACACGTTGAAACAAACACGTCTTAAGGACACAGGACACGACTGGCTCGTATCTGCGGTAGTACTCAGGACACATCCGCTGCTCATCCATCCGTCTTCGACCAGGCGAGCGCCGTCGAGTGCTGCAGTACTTGCCCGTCGGCCTGAGCCGTTTCGGCAGCGGCACAGCCTTTTTGGCCGTGTCAGCACTCCATGTCAGCTTTAGGAGCGCCGAAGAATCGGGATGGTCAAGTATCGAACAAATGGGATGAACCCGGCTGATGGCGAACTCACGCTGATTGGTTCAGCTTCAGCAGCTCTGGGCAAAGGCTTGATGGACAAGTTCTTGCCATCCCAGACGGCTTGATTTAGCCTACATTCCTCACTAAGCATCAACAAGAATTACACCTTGAAAACAGCATGCGGCATGCTGCCATTAGCAGCCTTTTGTCTTGGCACATTTGCCAGTATGATGGTTTGCACACCTATGTTCTCCGCATGCTCAGTGTGGGTGCAACAGCTGTGGCAGATTTGCTGAAGGTCTGGACTCTTTTCAACTCTATAGTAACTAACTCTAACAGTAGTATGGTCTGAGCGAACAAACAAAGACTGTGATGCCCAGCATTAACATCCGCGGGACAAAGTCGAACGGATGTTATGCCGCATATTCAGCATCTAATCTAACCACATCTGGTGCATGCCCTCCTGGCCCAAAAAGGTATGCATTGTACAGTACACCAGATGTTGGACGACGATTGCCCAACATCTCCCGTTGACAAGGTGAGCTGACAAGCACGAGCCTGTAGACGAGGATCTTGTCATTATCTTTAAGTGGGGACCCGAGTCAAATCAATCTGTTGGGAGTTGGGATCTATACATAGAAATGTAAAGCAAAACATTGCAAAACACTGATCAAATGCTGACTGTGGTTCAATCTGAGCCAAATACCTGCCGAATCTCAAGTAGCTAAGTAGCTCTAGTTTGTTCCCACCTCTTTGCTTGTGGTCTTTTCTGAAATGCCTTGAAGAACTGGTCCACCTTCACTCCAACAACATCGTTGCAAACATCGAGCCAGCAAACGCCGCCTAAAAACTGCAGGCTGCCCCCTGGTCACGTCCTGGCATGCCGATCTTTTAGCAGATCGAATCATCTCTCTCCAGTGATGCGAAGGTCCGGGCAACACAACGACCGTCGCCCTGTAGGACAGGACCCGGCAGGCGACAGCGGAGGAGGCGACAGGATGGGAGTACGGGGAGTACGGGGAAGGCTGTTGTTCAGTAGTTGGAGGAGGCGTTCAAGCGCCGGAATCCTCGAGTAGTTCAGTTCAACGTCTTCTCAGGGAAAATGGGGAAGGCTGTAAGGATCCAACAAAACTCGCGTACGCAAATGGAGCCAGGCACGGGGTGTCGGTTGTCCAAACAGCTCATTGACGCGAGTTTCATCCTAAGTTACCACACACAACCTACCATGCCCAAGTTCTTGTGCAAGTGTCTGCCCAAAACCGACAAGAAGTAGATGCTAGGTAGGGCCATGAGAGACCTTCTCGGGGCTGTTTTTTGTGCCCACTCGCCAACAACGACATTTCCCCGTGTCTGTGGACCAGGAGGTCAAAAACCCTCTTCAACTCTGAGGCTTTGAAAGTGTAAAGCCATTAATGGTAGCTGGTTTTTCTACCCTGGAACTGGCAACCACGAACTGGACCGTGCGTCATCCTGCGTCACTGCCAGGTTGTTCTCAATCATATTGGTCGCGTGTTGCTGAGTCAGGAGGTGTTTTTGTTTCTGTCATTGTTTCGAATTCGGATGCTTCATGTTCCATCACCAAAAACATACAATTCCTCGATGCGCTGGCACTCGCTTGGCAGCTTGCAGGATGGGGACTGTGTGCTGGAATTCCAGTGACTGCCTCCCACCCTTCCCTGTTCACTGCTGTGCATTCCATTCCCAACTGGCCAATGAGTTGGATCTCCCATCCCTCAGGATCTCCCATCCCTCCAGGATCTCCCATCCCTCCAGGCACCCAAAGATAGAAACAAGACCTTTTTTGGGGGGGTCTATCCTATTACCAGAGCCTCAGTGGATGATGATGGTTAGGTTGCAAGCCTTTAAAATGGTGATCATTGTTTACTGACTGTTACAGGTAATAGGACAGACCCAAACCATATATATATATATATGTACCTCGTTCCTGAAAAAAACATGGAAAACCCACCACAACTACGTTGGGAAATGTAGTTGTTCCGTCGGTCTCTATCCAAAGGTCGCTGGCCAGGCTTCCCTGCGGAAAACGCCGACTGGGGGTTGGCTGGGTTCCGGCGACTGGATCCTTGGATCCGACTCACAGGCCATGTGCGTTGTGACCCGGGAAAAAATTCGAAGACATTCCCCAGAAGGGAGTTGGGTCAGGGGACACGTCGGATTCGCCCCGTTGGGGGAAAAAGGAGACCATCGCACCCGGGACCCGTCGCGTCGCGTCGCGTCGCCCCGATCGCACCCAACTCTCCCGATCGAAGGACGAGGTCTGCTCGAGGCTCACGGTGGAGGGCCTAAAAATCGAGGGTCAAGGCTCACCCAGGACCCATGGACCCATGGACGCTCGGCATGGGAACACAGCACCCACAGCTGCCAGGATCGGAGGTTTGTTCAGACAATGAAGGACTGACGCGATCTCGATGAGTTCACCCGGCATGGCAAGGGGAAGAATGACATTCCTGTATGGGGTGGTGTCTTCCATAGTCTGTCGCAACACGCAGTTCATCTGCGCTGGAAGAGCGAAAACGGAGTT